AATCAGTGGCCTTTGGGGATTCAGATAAAGTGGGCTCTTCGTTGCCTTTTTGGAATTTTGTGGTAGCAGACACCTCTGTACTTTCCCCAAACTCTAATATCATGGATTTGTTGCTACCTCTTTGATATTCTGGAATGGTGACCTGGTCACTATCCTTCTGGGAATAAAGCATGGAAAACTGTTCACCATTTGTTTGAGATTTTGGAACAAAAGATTGTTTACCTTTCCAAGAGTCTGATATAGCAGGCAGTTCACTTGCTTTCTCAATTTCAAGGGATATAGACTGTTTGCTGCTTCTTTGGGATTCTAAACTTGGGGAGTGCTTACTGTCCTCATGGGACTCAAGCACAGCAGCCTGTTCTCCACTTCTTCTGGTCTCAAATGCAGTATACTGTTCATTAATCCCTGACTCTGAACAAATTCTTTGAGATTTTTGATCTCCGGGCTCATTACTTTTTGATAATGCTTCTTTACTGGCAAGTTTCTGTTTTTTCTCTCTATAATTCTGAAGCCAACTATCATTAGTCTGTTGACTCTGGTTTTGCATTAATTTGCCAGATCTTCGGTTTAACCAAGTAGTTTCCTCCAGTGAAATGATGCTGTATGTCTGTTGACCAAATGACATCTTTTGTTTCAGTGGCATTATCCTATTCTCAGAAGTGATAGTCCCAGGGGGCTCCTTTGCATCATCAATCTTGTTTTCTGTTCCTAGGCTACCATGGTGTGATTTTTGCTCTACTTCAAATAACATATCACTCTGATCATCTTTTTTTTTTAATTGATGGCTATCATGTTCAAATTCTTTTAACCCAGCTGATGGTCTGCTGTGATGAACTTGCCGATCTTCAAGAGGGAGACTACTGTGTCGAAATTCTTGCACTTCATTTTGCTGGCTATCATGGAGAGAGTCTAGTAAATTGGCTGGTAGACTGCAAGAGCGAAGTTCTAGAATGTCAATTGGCTTGCTTCCTTGGAGAAAATCTTGCTGTTTTTGTGGCAGACTATCAATGCAAAGATCTGAAATAACAGGCTTACCTGTTTTTTGCAAGTCATACTGATGACTCTCATGGCGAGATTCTTGCATTCCTAATTGTGTTCTAATGTTTGCAATGCTAACTGTATCAGTCTGTAAACTTTTTTCAAACAACTCTCTTTTCAGACTCTGAACACTATCAGTCTGCTGAGCTTGGTCAATTTTAATTTTCCGTATTTTTCTACGTCGCTTTGTTTTTTTTTCCTCTGATTTTGTTTTTTCTGTTCCTACTTGTTGGCCTCTTAGTTGGGTCTCCTGCTGTACTCCAAATATTTTTGGCTCTTGAATATTATATTGGGATTCTGGTACTGCAGGCTGTTGACTATCTTGCTTTGATTCTTGTCCCTCTGACTTTTTATTAATGTCCTGAGATTCTTGTTCTGTAGCTTGTTGACTAGCTCGCTTTGATTCTTGCCCCTGTCGCTTTTGAATACCATGCCAAGATTCTTGTACTGCAACAGATCGACTACTTCGCCTGGATTCTTGTTCCTCTGGCTGTTGAATACTATGCCAAGATTCTTGTACTGCAACAGATCGACTACCTTGTCTGGATTCTTGCTCCTCTGGCTGTTGAATACTGTGCTGAGATTCTTGTACTGCAACAGATTCGACTACCTCGCCTTGATTCTTGCCCCTCTGGCTGTTGAATACTGTGCTGAGATTCTTGTACTGCAACAGATCGACTACCTCGCCTTGATTCTTGCCCCTCTGGCTGTTGAATACTGTGCTGAGATTCTTGTACTGCAAAGATCGACTACCTCGCCTTGATTCTTGCCCCTCTGGCTGTTGAATACCATGCCAAGATTCTTTTACTGCAACAGATCGACTACCTCGTTTTGATTCTTGCCCCTCTGGCTGCTGAATACTGGGCTGAGATTCTTGTACTACAGCAGAACAACTTCCTTGTCTTGATTCTTGCCCATCTGGCTGTTGAATACTGTACTGAGGGTCTTGTACACCCACAGACTGACTATCCCTGCCTGATTCTTGTCCCTCTGACTGCTGCATACAGTGGCAAGATTCTTGTACTATATGCCTTTGAAAAATTTGTTCCAATTCTTGCCCCTGTAGCTGTTGCATACTATGTTGAGATTCATGTAATACAGGTTTCATTTCAGAAGCCCCAGAAAATGTTAACAATGTTTCAGTGTTTAAAGTTTCTTTTTCTGAATTGTTTCTTATTATGGCTTGATGAAAAGGAAGTAAAAGTTCTGTAAGTGTTTCTGGGCCCCAAACAATACTGGTTTGCTGATAGCTAGATATCCTCTGACTTGTTCTTTCACAAATACAAGTCCTTTCTTTGTTCAAAGGCTGTCCCTGAGAAAATGTTTTGTTTGGTAGATTTGGAACACAAATGGCTTGCTTGCTGCTGTGCTGAGATTCCAATCTATTTATATCTTGGCTATCATGGTGTGTGACTTGTGTCTTTATTTGCTGACTATCATACTTTTCTACTTGTTTGGTTCCATCTTGCACACAAGCTTTTTTTATTTCTGTCTCTTCAGGAAAAATAATCTCCTGTTCAAAGCCCTCTTGAAAAGACTTTGGGGTTTGTAAAGGCTGGCAAGCAACAGGCTGATTATTACAATAGGATTCTTGGTCTTGGAGTTGAGGGCTGTTGGACTGTAATTGTTTCTTAAGAGGTGTTACACTACTTGTCCTTGCAGAAATATTTGTCTGCTCACTTTCATCCATTATTTCTTTTCGTCTAAAAATGCTTACTTTGCTATCTGTTTGCAGAGTCTTGTCCACCACATTTTTTTCAGAAACCTTTCTAGGTTTTTGTTCCATTACTTGCACAGAATATCCACTTTTCTGATAGTGACTGATCTGAGTATAATCCTCATTTGTGTTAGAAGTAAGTTCCAGATTCTCCAAATTGAGTATTTCCTCATTCCCAGGATTTATCTGGGCAGGTACAATTTCAAAATCACTCAACTTTTCTTTTAGCAAATTTGCTAAATTAATTCTGAGGTCCTGAGGTACCAGCTTTTGCAGCATCAGCAAGCCAAATCTCCCTTCTGAACCAAGCTGTTTTCTTTTAAAAAGCTACATGTAAAAGAAACATAAGTGCTACCTTTTCTGATCCCACTTCATAACGATTAATTCTTTTCATTAGGACTGTGACTTGGATGTAAGTTGAACCATTTTCTAGGTGGTGATAAATCTTTGTTGAGTGCGTATTTCTTATTTACAGCCAGTTGGAATCATGGCCTTTTATGTCAAAATACTAGTTCTAGATTAAGGAGTTAGCAAGTAATTTGTCTGATGATGGTTTCCAGTTCTTAGGCCAACTGCCTTTGTTCTACAAGCATCATAAATGGTCTGTGACATCACTGCACACTGTGCTCCAATCATTTATCTTATAGTTAAACAAGATTCTAAGTCCAAGCCTTTAGAACTAGGAATAGAGTTCACTTTTGCCATTCAAGGGCAGCAACTGAAGCCTCAACTATTCTTCTTACTGCCTTCTAAAGAAGTGATTTTACAAAAAGGTAAGTAATAATAATTTCCTTTAACGAATTCTTAAGTGTTACCTTAAGGAAATATTTTAGAAAATTGTTGAAAACAATCGGTTTGTAAAGTGCAAAACTGATTGTTTAATAATTTCCTTTCACCAGATTTTCTGACAGCCTTTACCAACTTCATTTCTTGGCTAGGAATTATGAGAGATGCAGTTCAGCGAGAGAGATGGCATTACCTATTAATTCAACAATTGCCTCCAATGTGATGTTCCCCTATTAAGGACCAAGGCCATCTGGCAGAGCCAGATCTTCAGGGTCCTGTGAAAGGACAGAATGGTGGATAAGATGTTCCATAGGGGAGGAGTCACAACAGAGAACCCTTTCCTCCTGGACTCCACCAGCCTAGTGTCACTGCCCATCAGAATTATACCTGGAGTCTACGTTATCAGAATTGTAGAAAGATTAAAATATTTCAATGCATCCTTGAGAGAGGAGATTGACTCTTAAGGAAGGATTGGTTCACACTCCCCTCAAGAATCACTAGATCCTACCATACTGGGCAATTTTTTTAGGGGCTGTTGTGAGGAAGGTGGTCATGCAGCAGCCTTAGTGGACTCTGGATGAAGCCATTAGTTGGACTCCTTTCTTTCAGGATTCAGACCTAGACATGGGATAGAAACAGCATTGGGTACAATTTTGGATCATGTCTAGCAGGAGAGGGATAGGGGATGATGCTCCCATCCTGGCTCAACCTCTAGCCAATTTCTGATATGTGGGAATGACCTTGGAAGCCAGGGCAAGGGGATTAAAAGGCAGTTTAGCCAACAGCAGGAATGTGATTGGGGCAAGAGGCTCAGAAGAGTCCCTCCTTTGGGGGCTGTAAAGGATTAGATGGGGAAGGGGAAGTGCTTTCAGCCTTACAGGGTAGGATAGAGCAATCGGGAAACCCAACCTGATGAATTAATTCTACGTTATTGTAAGGTTACATTAAACAGAATCTTGTAAGTCTGGAAGTACTCCTGTCCCCCTCCTCCCCTTGACTTGAAATAGATATGGATTGGCAACGGAGATGGTAAATGTGTTGAACTTCAACGGTCCACAATACTCTGGCAACATAAGTAACGGAAAGGAGATTGGGGGAGTATCTCTGGAAGGTACCCGAGGGTGATTTTAGGAGAAGCTCGATCGAAGGAGAGGGCGGCAAAGGATTAGGCAGCTTTTGGTATCAAAGCGCGAAGGGCCGCCTAACCACGAAGCCTCCTATTTCTTACTAGCCTCGGCCTTCCTGGTACTACGGTCGCTCTCCGCCCGCACTTCACTTGAGCGACTGTCGAGCAAAAAGCCATCCTGAGGGAAAAGCAAGGCAAGCCGGCGGCCCCACCTCCATTGAGTATCCGAAGGGGCCCGCCTTCTTTTCCCATTGGCACTTGCCCGACAGGCCGACTCCCTCTTCCTCCGGTCCTCTTCCCGGGCCGCTAGAGAGCGCAACTGGACCCTGGCCCGGTTGTTTTAGGCCGGCCTCTGCGTTTGCGCAGTGCTCGTGAGACCGAGGCAGCCGCGGCCCAGGCTTGGGAAAGTGGAGCGGCGGCGCCTGCTGCGGCTTGCGGCGGGGCCGGCGGCTTGGGAGACGCGGATGTGACCGCCGTTGGCCGGGCCTGCGGGCAGGGCCGGGGAGCAGTTGGAAACAGCTCGGTGCCCCTCCCCCGTCATCCCATCCCAAGGCGCGGGAGGAAGAAGAGGGGCTATGCAGCCGCCTCAGCCGCCCCCCTACGAGTTCCTCAGCGAGGAGAACGGGCAGAAATGGCGGGGGCTCCTCGTGCCGGCCCTGCGTAAGGTCAGTCCCTCCTGGCGGCAGCGGCGTCCTGTCAATGCGGGCGCGCGCTCTCGCACGCGGTCCTTCAAGGTGGGGAGCTGCGGAGCAACCGCCACCCCCCCTCCCTCCGCCTGCCCGCCTCCGTTGCCAGGCGTCTCCCGGACAGCGGGATCTTTCCTCTTGTCAGTCGGCAAAGTGCTCTCGCTCCCTCCCTCCCCTCCTCCCCCCCCCCGTTCGGCGTGCTTCAGTTTACCTCACGCGAAGGGTCCCTTTCCGTGCCTTAGGGAGCCGCCCCCGTCAGGGCACGCCCCCTTTAACCTCTCCATAAAGCTGCCCTGCCTAAGCCAAATGCTCTCCGTGGCCCCTCAGGCGCTAGGAGATCCTGCTGAGGAGCTTTCTTTTTCCGCCACCTATTTCTCACAACGTATATTGCGTTGCAGGTGTGATGTAGGGCTTCAGAGCCTGCTCTGTATCGTGCGAGTAGACTGAGGGGCTTTGGGGTCGGTCGGCCGCCTCAGCTCAAAGCCGCCTTACCTCACAAGGTTCTTGTGAGAATATTCGTTGTGAGTTCCTGGAGTTCAACGTCAGTAAAACCCAAGGACTTATCTGCAGGGTTATAAGAGGGAAGCTGTGGCTGTGTGGAAATTCCCTAATGCTTTCCCAAGAAAAACTTTCTTACTTGTTGATAATTAAACTTGTGTGCTGCCTTACTTCCAAGGACTTTGAGTCTATGTCGGCAGGGTCCCTCTGGTTTTTACTTCTAGGACCTGCCCATCTTGTAATTGCAAATTGGGGATAACTGAATTCAGTTGCTTGCAGTGGAGTTTCTCACTAATGTGCGTTATTGCTGTGGGGAAAAAATAGACTGTTCTGTACATTGACTAAAAACTCCTGGAGTTCATTGTTTCTAACAATGAACAAATAATATAATCCTTGCTTACTGACTACTTCATGGAGTGACTGAAATTACGATGACACTAAAAAAACCTCTCCTGTCGATCTTCACAGTTATGACCATTGCAGAATCCTGCAGTCACATGATCACCATTGAGGTGCTTCTCAACCAGTTTGTGACAGGCAGAGTTAATAGAGAAAGTGGACATAAATTCATAAATTGTGATAATGTGATTTTTTTTCTTGTATATACTAACCTTGTAACTCAACATCTCTTAAGTCAGATCCTTTTCAGATTATTAAATTATTTTACCGAGCATTCTTGCTGGCATAATATAAATTGTAATCCAGGACCTGGGCAGCTTGTTGAGGAAGATTACAGTAACTGTATGTTGTATGTTCTTTTTACATGGAACTGCCAAAAGATTCAGATGTTTTTCTATACAATTACACAGATCATTCTATATTATTCTTTATTGGCTCCTTGTATAGACACACTTCCTGCCTTGTATTTACCTCTTCTGTATACACATTGATATTGTGATCATATTGATCATCATGGTCCTGTAAATTTTTATGTAAGAAAGGAAGTTGAGTAGATTTGTATGTGTATGGAAACTGCAAATATAGTAGGCATACTCAAACACACTATAAAGATATGAAAGGGAGACACAAACTGCAGAATTTGAGGTGTTTGTACTGCATGATGTTGACTATTGTTCGAATAAAGAATTCAGTCTAGGTACGATGCTGGTCCAGACAATGTAATGTGATTTGTGTATTTGTTTTTGACTCAACAAGAATGAGTCCTTTTGCTCTGATGGATTCATAGTAAGCCTAGCATGGTGAATGAATTAGTAATCTGAGTCATTGACTTATCTGTCAGTACACATACCAATTTTTTTATCCTTCCATATCTAGGGTATTTGTTACCAGTCAAAATCTAGTCACAGAATCTGCCTTTCGTCTAAGAAACTGAGGAATGCCTTGATTGTCTTGTATTGTTTAGTATAGTTTGATTTTTGTAACATAGTATTACATTTTAGGAAAAGCGCAAGAGTTTTGTGTTTGAACTGAGATGGAGCTTTCCTGTATTAAGAATTAAGAATCATAATGTGATTCTAATTGTACCATTAGCAGTATCTATTTCTTTTTTGAATAGTTTTCAAAACTCAGAAAAAGACAAGCAGGAGAACTATATAAGCATTTTTCTTTGACCTAGTTCGTGTGCTGAACTAAGACATAATGGATTTATTTGATTTATTATGTTGCATGAATCCATGAGTCTATAACACATACTTTATGGCTTAGTGTACTTTGTGTACTCAATCATTTGTGGATTGCTTAGTAAATCAAGTTAAGTGCTTAACACTGTATGTGAACCCAGATATATATTTTGGCCTAATTTATTTTGTCCACAAATTGTAATTGTATTGTAATTTGTAAACCATCATTTATACTTTGGGTATACATCCCTCTCCCCCCATCTCCATATTTAATGGCAAGTGAGCATATTTAGAATGTTGAGAAGATGTCATAGGCACTGTCACAAAATAATTTCATGATATTTTGGTTCTTTGCAAAGAAGATAAATTGAATGCTTTGTTGTTGCTGGTAGATACGTACATTTGTATGTATATATTTATGTGTGTACACATACTTTTTTCCCTAAGGATGCCTCCAAATACTCAGAGAAATTATGGAAATATAAGTTATGTTTGAGGCTGATACTTTGCTTTGCAACATGCTTTCCATTCATTTTTTTAATTAAAAGAATTTTAAAAAATAAAATGGGCAAGCCTGGCAGATTTCAAAGAACATGTTATTCTTCAAGAGCAATACTTTGGACTTAGCTTAGTATGTGAGAGATACCAAAACAATAATTTCAGTGAGAGGTTACTTGCTATTCTGATCATTTTAAATTTATTACAATTTGTATTATACAAATGTTATTTTTCTCCATGAAAAAAATACAGAACCCTAACCCTTCCATAAATTTTATGAAGATTTATGGTTACTGAAAAAATCATTTGATGTAACAGACAAAAACTGTTTTTCCTGGATTATCTTTCATCTGTCTGCTATTTTTGTTATAGAGCTAAATGGACAAATGTTTGTCCATTTTTTTTCTCAGTTACAATATAAGTTTGTATGTAAGAAGATTTACTTTTTTTTTACTGTAACTTCAAAAAATTAACAGGGAGAGAGAAAGTAATTGAATTGGACACATATCACTAAATTAAAAAGGTAAAGGAATGTTTGAGTTAGTCTCAACTCCAAGTGACGGAACATCCAGCAGTTTTCTTGGCAATAAATGAAAATAGCTTTCTCTTGGTCGAGTGGAAATAACATCCCAGAAGGCGACAGTGGCAAGCCACTTTCCTAACTTAGCCAAGAAAAGTATTTGGAGGCTGTCAACAGGAATTGAAATTAACTAAAGGACATCTTTTTAATACTATGCTTTCATTTTCTGAATAGTTTTTATCCCAGAGCTATAATTGCATTCAACAATGAACTAAAGGGCCACTATCAGTGAGCTTGTTGGACAGTATTACTTGGTCTGTTGTATGGATGTTTGGGTGGTTCGGGGTGGAGAATTGCAGTGGGTGGGAGTGTGTTTGGGGATTGTTATGTGTGTTGCACCTGGTCTTTGGGTGTTAAGTGAATTTTGTTGTATGGGTATACTGTGTATACACGTACAATGATAATAAAGTTATTTATTTCATTTATTTTTAACTTTCATCACTTAAATAATTCATTAGAAACTGCTCATCTTTAGTATTTACGGGGTTTTATATTTGTTCTGTGTGTACATATTTTGTGGTGTAAACTATCAGGAGTTGTCTTTTGAACCTGGTTATACACAAGCATTCTACTCCTTGCAGGAGCCTTTTATAGTCTTGAAGCCCTGTAGCTCCTTATTGCTATTAGGTGCAAATTGTTAGAGAAAGATAATCAAAAAAATCCCATGCAAATATTTGGCATGGAACACAATGAAATAAGTTATCAGTAGAAAATTTTTTTGGGGGGGAGAAGTTAATTGATTATTGCAATACATTTTATGTGGGGTTCTCCTTGAAGAAGATTCAGAAACATATTTTAGTGAAGAACATGGTGTCAAAGGTCATGACTAGTTATGGGAGATGATCATATTATGTCAGGATTATAACCTGTTAAGTCCTCTATGGCTTTGGGTCAGAGGGGTGTCTTTTTCTCTCATATTCGCATTGGAACCTTTTCATCAGAGACCTACTCTTAAGTACTCTCATATGCTGATATGGCTAATATAATGAGTGATTCAGGAATGGCTTTTTTTTAGTACTCTTCTGTAAGTATGACATGCTATCCCTAGGGAAGGCTACTTTGTATTTCTACTTTCTGATTATGTACCTGAATCAGCTTTTCAAAGTTTGTGAAGAAAGTTATAAATAACTGCAACTTCTCAGGGTTTGTGAGGAATGTTATAAATAACTGCTAAATTAATTTTAATACAAGTTTCAAAATAACTTATTTCAACTAGGGTGAATATGTATGCATGCATACATTTGTTTGGTTGATAGACTTCTGAAAGCCCTATATCTTCAGAAATTTAGTCATCTAAGAGGGTGTTTTCCAGAATGAGGGAATTGCAAGAAAGTACTGGGTAAAAATATTTCTGCATGATTCACAGTTCTAAATTTAGCAGCATTTTTTCCATTCCCTTTCACATACCAAGGCTTTGAACAATTACAGAAGATGGTAACACTAAGTTATTAGTTAATGAAATAAAAGCTTACCTGTATTCTTCTATATAAATATTCATTATTGGACATTTTATTGTGGAGCACTAAGAAAAATTAGTCTTTTAAAATTATAAGAGATATGATATGGTTATCAGTATATCTGCACTCATTAATTTGTCTTCTGATTGAACATAACAAATGTATCTTTCTGCAGGTTCAACAGCAAGTCCATCCCAACCTTTCAGCCAAGGAAGATTCCCTCTTTTACATTGAGGAACTAATTCTTCAACTGTTAAATAAGTTATGCATTGCACAGCCACGGACATTTCAAGATGTAGAGGTATGAATGCAGTATATGTGAGGGCGGGAAAAGCAGGTGTTTCCTCACAAAACAATGTTAGTATGAAAAGAGGAACTCAAAAATTCAACAAATTAAATCATGCAATAGAGTATTACTTCTCTAATCTAATAACGTAGATCATGAAATAGGCAGAATTTTAAAATTGGTATGTAGATATACTGATCAATATTATCTGGTATAAGCTATTGTACATAATATTAAACCATCAAAATGTTATTTTTAGAGAGATAGTTTAGAGAGTTAGTTACTGACAGTAGACCTTTAAAGGAAGTCCTTAACTTATGACCACAATTGAAGACAGTTGTTAAGTGAATTTTGCCCCATTTTACGACTTTTCTTGCCACAGTTGTTAAGTGAATCACTGCGGTTGTCATGTTAGTAATACAGTAGTTAAGTGAATCTGGCTTTCCCATGGACTTTGCTTGCCAGAAGGTGACAAAAGGTGATCACATGACCCTGGGACACTGCAACTGTCATAAATACATGCCGGTTGCCAAGCGTCCGAAACTCCAAATGTTGATCATTTTACCATAGAGGTGCTAAAACGGTTGTAAATGTGAAAAATGGTTATAAGTAAGTTGTAGTGCTGTTGCAACATTGAATTGTCACTAAATGGATGGTTCATTCTGTTAGTGTTCAAAATTGGTGCTGAACAAAGAGAGTTATGACTGATGTCCAAAGTTATAGCTGTTACAATGCCCCCTTGGTCACATGATTAAAATTTGGCACTTAGTAGTGTACCTGCCCTTACCATTGCAGGGACACTGCAACTTCCCCTCACCTAACTATCTCTTAATCTTCCAGCTACCCACCAGTTCATAAAAAGCTGTTATGGTCCTGGTGGCCTCATTCTGCTCACTGGCTACTTCTCCCAACCTCACCAGGGTTCTCTTTCCTCCACCCCATGGCCCTCTCCCAGCCCACCACAGCCGGAAGACCCAGGCCCTCTCCTTGCCCCATTATGCCCGCCTCCTTAATTACAGAAAAAGGCAAAGATAAGTGGACTTGGGCATGATGGGGCAAGAAGAGGGCCTGGCCCTCCCAGCCCTGGCAACTTTCATGTGCTGGTGGGTGCTGAATCTCCCAAGGCCTGCCCCATCCCCTGAGGGACTACTGTAGAATTGCTTAATGACCTGCGCAATAGCAATAGGTCTTAGACTTATATACGGCTTCACAGTGCTTTACCGCCCTCTCTAAGCAATTTACAGAGTCAGCATATTGTCCCAACAATCTGGGTCTTCATTCTACTGGAAGGATGGAAGGCTGAGTTCAACCTTGAGCTGGTGAGATTCAGACTGCTGAACTTCTGGCAGTTGGCAGTCAGCAGAATCAGTCTGCAATACTGCATTCTAATCACTGTGCCACAATGGCTCTTAATACCTTGATAGCTTAATGCCACAACTAAGAGAATGGGATTGCAGTCATGGAGCAAAGTGGTCAGATGGACATCTTGCTTAGCAACCGCTTCACTCAACGATCAAGAGTTTGGTCCCAGTTGTGGTTGTAAGTCAAGGACTACCTATAATGCTCTTCTACATTAAAGCATACAAGAGAAATTGCATTGTTATTGCAAATAAACTTATGGAAAGTGTGTAACAGAGAATCTTTATTCTTAATTCCTAATGGTGTGTTCAGTTCCTATGCATTATGCTGTTTTCCACTCCATCAGAAAATTAAAATAATATTTTGAAAAGTATTCTGAGTCAATGCAGTGCTGCATGGCTGTTGTTTGGAAGGGAAAAAAATACTCAGATAAATAAATGATATATTCTAGCAAAATTTAAAGAAAGGAATCTGGCTCTCTTTTTTTTATTGAGAATTTGATAGATGGGTTTTTTTGCACTTGGACAGGAGCGTGTTCAAAAGACATTTCCTCATCCAATTGACAAGTGGGCAATCGCAGATGCACAGTCAGCTATCGAGAAGCGAAAACGAAGAAATCCTCTCCTGCTGCCAGTGGACAAAATACATCCTTTATTAAAGGTATACTGGGACAAAAATATTGGTGATTTAATATGACATTTTTAATCTGCTAAATTTAATAATTTGTTCTCCTGTCCTTCGCTAAGACACTCTTCCCTGAAAAATATGAATTGTGAAATAGCAGAATATAACTAGACATGCAAAAAAATATACTCTTTCTTGAAAGAAAAGTGTGTGTCCTGTGGTTAGAAAAGGGGGAAAGATTCAAGCAGAGAAAGAAATACCATTTCTAGTTGTGGGTAAAAAGAAACCCAGAATGGCACCAGCCTGACAATAGTATGTAGAATCTTATCCATGGAGGTTATGCTTCTCTTTTTGGAGGCTTGTATATGTTCTGCAGGATCATTGACTCCAAGTTAAAGTGTGTATCCTTTATGCCCTTTCCATCGTGAAGTAACATTATTGCGGGGCCTAGGTGTCATCAAGTGAACTTGTGTGATGTCAGAATATTTCCTCTAAAAAAAGATTATCATTTTCATAATAGTTTGCAAGAATCTCTCTTAAAACTGCCAAAATTACAAAGGATTTGGGTGGTTTTGAGGAGGGAATCAGAGACATCTTTTTCAAGTATCTCATGTTGTGTAGCCTTGCATGTAAGTATCCTTGTGGTACCCAGCTGTCTGACTTTGCTCAGATAAAAGCATAATAAATGGGATTTTATACATATTCTTTTGTGTTAATTTTCAGGAGGTTCTTGGTTATAAAATAGATTATCACATGTCTCTTTACATTGTGGCTGTCCTGGAATACATCTCTGCTGACATCTTAAAATTGGCTGGCAATTATGTTTTCAACATACGACATTTTGAGATTTCCCAACAGGACATTAAAGTATCCATGTGTGCTGATAAGGTGAGGTTCTATGGAAATCCCAAATGTATGTAAATATTTCAGCTCAATTATATAGTTGTTGGGTATTCCTCTTGCTATTTCATCTTGCCATAAATAGTATCTTTGTTATAGAGCAGCTTTAAATTACATTTCTGTGTCAATAACATGTACTCAAAGAAATTATGACACTTCTCTCAAAAAATTGCATTATTAATTTATTAGTCAATAAAATATTGAATTCAGTAATTTATCAAAAAGGCCATAACTTCATATTGGTTTATAAAATATTTGCTCATGTGTAAAATATCTCTTCTCTATTTAGGTGTTAATGGATATGTTTGATCAAGATGACATTGGTTTGATTTCCTTATGTGAGGAAGAGCCTTCTTCTTCTGGTGAACTTAATTACTATGATCTTGTCAGGACTGAAATTGCAGATGAAAGACAGTATCTGCGGGAGCTGAATTTGATCATAAAAGTATTTCGAGAAGCTTTTCTATCTAACAAAAAGCTGTTTATGCCCAATGTAAGTCAGTCCTTTGCCAAATTAGCCCTTTGTTGTGTGCTTTGAAATAAATTTAATTATGGTAAAAACTTCCCCCTTTTGAAATCTTATTTTAATGAGCAACAGGTAACTAAAATCTGCTTTATTGCATGTTAGTTTTCTAGTTTCTCTTTTTTTAAAAAGTGTTATTTTTCAAAAATGCAAACAAATTGTTTCTTCAGGGAATCAAAATGAATTACTTTATTCTGATGCAGCAATTAAAATAAATCATAAATAATGCATAAAAATTAGAATTGAAATCTTGCCATATACTGTTACAACTGCAAGTCTTTTAAAGGTATTTTGAGACTTGGTAGCACAATACATGGAGAAGTTCAGCTCTGTGAGTGCTTTCCATTCAAAAGAACTGGACTTCTTATGTAAAATGCCACTTTTTTCATAAACGTCTGTTTAAAGAACAGTAGCCGGGGCAAGCATTTTATAACAGATCAGAAGTTTGTGTAGAAAAAGACTATATAAAATAACTCATCAAGTCTAAAATTCTTTAGATTTGACTTACCAACATTCAAATACCTATACTTCAGCTCCCCAAATTCTCCAGCCAATTCTGGGAGTTGAAGTTCAGACATCTTAATGTTGCTAAAATTGAGAATAAACTGGTCTAAAATGATACAAAATCTTTTTTAATCTTTTGGTTTAATTTAAACTCTTGTATCAATTTTTAATCAAATAGCAGAATATTTAAAACAAATGTAAAAAGATACACATTCAGAATGGATTTTTTCCCCCTCAGGATATTGACATGATATTCAGCAACATCACAGATATCCATGAATTGACAGTGAAACTCTTGGGATTAATTGAGGACACAGTTGAAATGACTGATGAAAGTAGTCCTCATCCCCTGGTTGGCAGTTGTTTTGAAGATCTAGCAGAAGTGAGTTAGCAGTGCTGTTCCATTTATTATTCAGTGGGGCATGATTAATTCAGATTTTTTGTTGGGGGGGGATAAGAATGAATTTTTTCTGCTATGGAGGATTACTCTATTTCTGTCTCTACCTACAAATATATAATTAGCCTATTAAAGTGCAGGCATATAATACATTTATTATAAAACTTTTTTTATAATTGGGAATACAGACTTGAAGAATATACACGGTGGGCAAACCTAAAAAGTCTTTTTCTTTGAAAGCCTACCGTATTTTCCGGCGTATAAGATGACTTTTTAACACATGAAAATCTTCTCAAAAGTCGGGGGTCGTCTTATACGCCGGGTGTCGTTCTCCTGTAACCAGGCAGACCAGCCCAAAAGATTCTGACGAGCCTTAAATGGCTCTGGCGATCCAAGCTCTGACGATCCCAGCTTTGCCTGCTAATCAGGCAACTCAGCTGGGATGCCAGAGCCATGTAAAAGGAAAACACTTTTTTCCTTTTACATGGCTCTGCAAGCTCTGACGATCCCAGCTGAGTTGCCTGCCAATCAGGCAACGCAGCTGGGATCGCCAGAGCCCTGTAAAAGGAAAAAAGTTTTCCCCCTCCAGCTTGCTTACCTTAGCTGCTAGTCACAACGCTTGCCTTGCTTCGCTTGCCTGAATCCATTCCATCAGCAAGCCACTCCCTGCCTGCAATCAAGCAGGCAGGAGTTGTGGACTTCAACTCCCAGAATTCCTCAGCCAGCAAAACAAAGCTGGTTGAGGAATTCTGGGAGTTGAAGTCTACAAGTCTTAAAGTTGCCAAGGTTGGAGACCCCTGTTCTATTGGGTAAGATTTTTTTCCCCTTTGGAAGCTTTAAAAAAAATAGTTAATTGGGGTTTTTTTTAGTAGTTCTTTTTTAGACCTAGCCATTTAAAGTTTAGGAAGTTTTAAATTTAGTTTTCATATAAAAATAAAAATAAAATAATATTTGTGCAGCTTTCTGAGATTTAGTGTGTTTCTGTAGTGTTTCACTCTAACTACACAAACACACAAAATCTCACAAAGCTGTATGTGGAATTTTGTGTGTGTAAAGTGTGAAAGTTGTTTTTTTGGGCTTTTTGTGGCTGTGTGAGGTTCCTGCTTGTTGCAGGGGCCATTTTGGGTCTAGCACAGCTGCTTTTACATTGGGGGTGAGCCAGTTGTGTTGTGTTGTGTATGTGTAAAGTGTGAAAGTTGTTTTTTTGGGTTTTTTGTGGCTGTGTGAGGTTCCTGCTTGTTGCAGGGGCCATTTTGGGTCTAGCACAGCTGCTTTTACATTGTGGGTGAGCCAGTTGATGTTTTTTAATTTTTATTTGGTGTGCGTTGGAAGAGGGGTAGTCTTATACGGTGAGTATAGCCCAAACGCTATATTTTAACAGGAAAAGTCGGGGGTCATCTTATACGGCCAGTCGTCTTATACGCCGGAAAATACGGTACTTATTCATTGTGAGTTCCTCCAGTGTCTGAATTTAAAAATACAAAGTTAATTATACAATATCTTAAATGGGAAAAGTACTATTTCAGGTATCATGTTTTCTCAGCTTATTAGCAATTAAAGAATGTCAAAGTAATGCTTTAATAATTGGTAAGTTACTGTAGTGGTTTCTTTTGTCACACGTGATAACAAAATATTCTTGCAGAAAACAATGATGAAATGGCTTGTACTCTTTCTGAAGTACTGGATTGTTGCAGAATATATCATACAGTATGTGGTCACAGCTTCCTTTTCTGTAATTTATTAGAAAATACTAATAGTTTGCCTTTCTACTTCAAAAGTCTTTGCTGATTTAATCATTTTCTTAAAACTATGATATGTAGAGCAATTCTTTGGAAAGTTGGTTAATATCCCCTAAGAGATATTTTCAGGCTTAATTAAACACAAGATCAATTAAACATAAATATTATCTTAAACAACCAGATCTTGATAAAATCTGGTGTAACTGAGTTTTGGAATAATATTAAAACATGGTTTGTTTATAGAAATGCCCTTGCATTGCCCTTCTTTCTTCCCTTTAACAATAAATTCATTTCTCCATTTCCTAGTTTTCAGTAACTAGAATTTTCTGATATTTAATGGCTTGCTCTAAAAACAATTTGATTAATTTTACAACTGTGATTTGTCAATTCACACTTAGCTAATGAAAAAACAGGAACTAAATAGGAGAACTGTTAGACTATGTAATTGTATATCAAGTACATCAGTTGCATAGTCATTTTGATTTCTAAACTATAGCATGTTGTTAAGATGAACCGATATGTATGCTGGCTGGGTGTTTGAAATTATCACTGGATTCATTTTCAGATGAAAGATTTCTAGTTATTTGTGTTTTATATACTATACTTACAGTTGTATAGTGTTTAAATGTGTTTGGATAAAATTATCCTTGCTATATATTGGTCCAATTGGATGATGCTTGAGTGATTTAGATACCCTTTTTTTTTTAAAAAAGAAAAAGAAAAATTAGTAATATCTAATTTGAGTTGCACTTCATTATCCAAGTTGGATAGATGATATTCCATTAAATATGTAAAAGTAGAACAATTAAAACTTCTCTTATGTAATTAGTAATTTCTCTAAATCACATATTTTACAATGCTTATTCTATTTTTTTAGGAACAAGCCTTTGACCCATATGAAACCTTATCACAGGAAATCCTTTCACCACAATATCAAGAACATTTTAATAATGTAATGGCTAAACCTGCTGTGGCCTTACACTTCCAGGTATATATACAGATGTGAAAGTTCTAATATAAAAATAAAACAGAAAAAATCTCTCTCATATGTTAACAATCTTGATAGAATAATTTAAATTATACAATCTGCATATTGTTGAATTCCAACCCTCATCATTTTCCACCTGTATTGCTAAAATTGTAAATTTGCAACGTTGGTAGGTCAAAACTGTAGATGGACAGAAGTATTCTTTTTGGAGAGTAGTGGCTTTCTCCTTACAACCGTGCCAGGCCCACCAGTGTTGTTCACTGTTGTCCTGAAGATGGTTTCATGAAACCTGGCGTTTGCCATTAGAAGAGAGGTTTTTAATTCCTTAGATATTACCTGGATTCTTTGAGACCTCATGATGTATTAAATATCTTGTTCAGTGTGATCTTGTTCAATCACTCCCAGGAAGGGTAAAAATAGCATTAAATTGCCCCCATATGTACACAATCTGCCTGTGTAAATAGTTTTATAACCTTTTTCTGCCTTGCGAGCAACTGTTTTCAGAAACCTCCTTTGTTCAAGCCTTGACACGCTTCCACATACCTGCTTTGTAAAGATCAGATTTGATATTGAATTCCCAGAATTCTGTTCTTTAAGACAGGACTGCCCACCTGATTATCATTCTATTGATTAAAACATCTGATTCTAATTTCCCCTTCAAATGAACTCATAATCCTAGCGGTTCATATATCTTGCAACATGCATACATGTAGCTTTGGATCTTTTTCCTCAATAAATAATAAACAAGTATAATATTTTTGACTCGTTAATTTAATTGGGTTCTCTTTGTTCTAGGATAAAGTAGTGTGGAAAATATATGTTTTAAATAATATTTTATTATTTTATTAAAATAATATTTATGCAGAAATATTGAACATTCAAAAGGATTAACAAACTTTTAAGCACCACCATTTACACAGACACAGACGTAATACAAAAAATTAGACTTTTTTTTTATTTATTTGATTTATATGCCGCCCTTCTCTGGAGACTCAGGGCGGCTTACAATGCGTTAAGCAATAGCCTTCATACTTTTGTATATTTATACAAAGTCAGCTTATTGCCCCCACAATCTGGGTCCTCATTTTACCTACCTTAGAAAGGATGGAAGGCTGAGTCAACCTTGAGCATGGTGAGATTTGGACTTGCAGTAATTGCAGACAGCTGATGTTAATAACAATGCTTTAGTCTGCTGTGCCACCAGGGCTCTTTTTATAACTTTCCACCTCTTCTTTTCTGGATTTCAGCTCTTCTGTCTAATGAAGAATTTTTGAAAGCTTGCAATTAATAATTTTCATTGGTCTAATAAAGATTTTTTCCCCTTCCTTCAGTTGAAGATTGCCTATACTGCCATATAGCTGCTTTGGCTATGGGTATAGATTATATCTATGATTTATAAAGTTCATGGTCTTCAATGGGCTATATTGTTTTCTCAATTGTGGTATTGTCTGACAAGCAAACATTGGCTGTCCATAACTTACCATGATTCTTTAGTTAACATCACAATGATTGATTTGGTCTTTACAGTTTAATTATATATCTGTCACTGAACTAAGTTCTTTCCTTAGACAACGTGTATTCCATAGAATCTCTAGAGCAGTAGTCTTAAAGCTTTGTGGCACTCACACAAGAGAGGATGGAAGCCCTTTGGGGCACTGCTTGCACAAGTAGACCTGCGCTCACGTACTGGCCCGCCTCTCATGTGGCCCAGTTCCGAATAGGCCATGGCCCTCCTACAGGCTTCTCCATGCCAAAAGCTTTTGCAAAGGGATGGAAGGCCTGAAGCAGTGTGAGATTGTTCCCCCCAAAGCCTTTCATCCATTAGCAAAAGAAGAAAAGAAGAGAAGCCTTTGGGGGTGCAGTCTCATGCTCCTTCAGACTCATTGAGGCTGCCCAACGCTCCAAAGTGTATTTGGTGTCCTGCACAGGCTGCCTTGGTGAGTCAGCGAAGCTGAGTGGGGTGTGCTTGTCCCATTCAGCCTCTGCTCTCGTCACTCTCCTTTTGGAGCACCGGGAGTAGGCAGCTTGGCAGCCCGACGGGTGAGAGAGGGGAACTGGGCCTCACAAGCAGCAGGCTGGTGCACACAGATGCATGTGTAGCTCCATTCACACAAGAGGAAAGAAGCCTTTTGGGCACTGCATGTGCAAGTGGAGCGGCGTGCGCACACTAGCCTGCCTTTTGCATGACCCAGTTCCAAATAGGCCATGGCCCGGTAATGGGCCACGGCCTGGGTGTTGGGGACTCCTGTTCTAGAGAGACTTTAGAGATGACAAAATCTGGGTAATCTGTGGTTTGAAAGGTTTAGTTTATTGAAATGTTCATAAAACCTTCTTCCCATCCTACTAGATGCAATAAATTTTCCTAAAGACTTTTAATGTTAGGATAGCCTGTATGGAGGATGTTTATCTATCTATCTATCTATCTATCTATCTATCTATCTATCTATCTTTTTCACAAAACATGCATGGTATGTCATCCTCTCATAGCTTCTAGGTAGCTCACAATATAATTTTTAGTATTTTGTCTCTTCTTCCTATGACAATCATTGAAACTAGACTTACTTTTTTTCCCTTCAGTCAATTGCTGATGGCTTTAAAGAAGCAGTACAATATGTCCTACCACGTCTCATGTTAGTTCCTGTTTATCACTGTCTCCACTATTTTGAATTGCTACAGGTGAGATATGCTGTTTAAAATAAAAGTAAATTCCATATACAAGTTGAATGTGCAAATATACTAAATCTGGATTAAATAAAAATTTTGCAGCTGTTTCATACATCAAATTTGGTTATTTAAACATGTAAACTACTTACTATTGTTGTTGTTTTGTATACTTTTTCATTTTAGCTTGACTAGTGTTTGTACTGGAGTTTAAAAAATAAAATGTGGATTTACAGTATCTGCCAGCAATATATTAAAAAGACAGTTATGTTTTATTAGCATGAGTTAATAATATACCCAGCTGATAGATGAGTTTTTCCCAGCTTAGTGCTTTCCAAATCTATTGTTCTGTAGATTGTATCAGTTAAAGACTGACACTTCTTGGAAGCATCAGATTCAGGTGTGTTGAAGGCTCATTAGACTATCCTGTGTACAGGCCCCATTGGAAAAAATTTCAATTTGTACAAAAACAATAAGGTGAACATTTCAAAGACTTTGAACAGTTATCCATTTTGTATAACAGCTAAGAGATATTCTTCCATAATCAAAATATAGATATACACAACTTGCATAATGTTGGGGGTAAATACATCTAAGGCAATCAACCATGGGTGGGTAAGCAGTTGGTGGTCCATTGATAGCCATTTGACAATATTGAAGGAAGTAGAAGACCTTTATTATTGCATGGGTCAGGAGGAGTACTGAGAAGATATCTACAGATCCCTCATAAATTGGGGGGTGGTGGTGGTGTAAAATTGCTTCAACGCCTCCCTGGACATAAATTGTTTCAACTCCTCCCTTCAGGATTGCATTACAATGCACTGCATGCCAAAACAACTAATCACAGGGACAGTTATTTACCTCATGCTGTCAGTCTGCTGAACACCTAATTCTCATAGTGTTATCTAATGTCTGTGTATGTTTACCCATATAGTATGGCTGTAGTATTATCATTTATCCTTCTTATCTTCTTTACTCCGCCCTATTATTGGTATTGTGACAATGATGATTCTGTTGCTTTGCATGTACACAGAGAGCTATTGCACCAGAGTCAAATTCCTTGTGTCTCGTCACACTTGGCTAATAAAGTATTCTATTCTATTCTAACTACCTGGTGCTTCTTAGTTGTTTCAATTTTTACAAAGAATGTTGTCTAAATGATCCAGGATGATATGTCATACATTGTGTAAGAGAGCAGATTCATAACAATATTAAATGCAAAATATTTATGACTACTGTAAGAAATCTTGCTCTTCCTATTTCAAAACATGTCAGTGCACCAATCAGATTGAATTTTAAATTCCCTAGAATTGAATGAAGGGTTACTATGTAATTCACTTTCTTGTTGCTTCCTGATTTAAAGAAAATAAATCAGTATATAATAGATATATAAAGATATGTAATAAGAATAAATTAGTATACAATGTCAGGTCTAAGAGAAATATGAACAAGGCCTTAATAATTAGTATGTTAAATTTAGCATTACTCAGAACTATTTGTTTTCATTAAAAGTGCGCAAAATGTTTTGTTCTGAAATGCTTGGAGAATGAAACTTCATGATGTTTCCATATTTCAAGATTTCTGAAATAGTTTCAAGGTTGAAATGTTCCTAAAATGTTTATATCAGCTTTTTTAGTGTTGAAAATGTTTGAAGTGAAACATTTTCTACATCCTTAACTTCTCATTATTGTAGCTACCTTAAAATCTTATTTCCTTTTCAGTATAGTAATTGAAAATGAACTTGTAACGTGTTCAGGAGAAAGTGTCCAACATTTGACATTCAAAGAATGCTCTTTATCACTGCTGCTCAAAATTTAAATATAGAATTAGAAAAACCCATTATATGTCTTTTGTCGGATGCCCTGCTCTGATATCCAATCACGGTGCTTTTTAATTTATGCTTATCCATGAAAACATAGCAAAAAGTGATTTGCAACTCTGTTTGGTAATATATTCTGACTGCTATTTCAATTATGATTTTAGAAAATTTTTAAGATGTTGTAAGTTCATCAACAGGATGAATTATTTGTATATGCAACTGCCTGAAATAAACACAGACTTTTATGTTTGGACTAATAATTTTTGTTCACTTGAATTGCAAAAATAATTGTTTTGTTCAGTGTGTATGGAAATGTATTCTTAGGTTGTATTTGTATTTCGGTTACTCAGATATTTCTATAAATTCCTCTCTACTAAATGAACTCTCCATAAAATTGAAATATTTGTTCTTTTCAGCAACTTCAAGAATGCAGTGAAGACGAAGAAGACTGTGAATGTTTAAAACAAGCCATCACAGCTCTCCTGAATCTCCAATGTAGTATGGAACGCATTTATAACAAACATTCACCTAGACGTCGGCCTGGGTAAGAAAATTAGTCATGGCATTGTTCTAGCTGCGGTTTAAAGTCTTTAGGAACATTAGCAAATATGTTGACATTTGAAGATAAAGGCAGATAATGTCACAGGAATTAATGCTGTGAGTCAGCACCCTGACACTTTCTTTTCCTTTTGTTAAGGCCTTTTTACACATTTTGTTTTAAAAGTAAGCATATCTGCTTTGCACATATTACAGTTGGTAACTGCCAAGTTTAATCTGATAAACTATGCTTTTAGGGAGCCTGTGTCTTGGTTCTACAACCGCCAAATAAGAAGCAAGCATCTAGCCATAAAAAAAATGAATGAGATCCAGAAAAACATTGATGGTTGGGAAGGCAAAGATATTGGTCAGTGCTGTAATGAATTTATAATGGAAGGCACACTGGCAAGAGTAGGAGCCAAGCATGAACGACATGTATTTCTCTTTGATGGTTTAATGATCGGCTGCAAAGCCAACCATGGGCAGTCACGACTTCCAGGTTATAGCAACGCAGAATACCGACTCAAAGAAAAGATTATTATGAGGAAAGTCCACATAGTTGATAAAGATGACACTTGTGAATACAAAAATGCCTTTGAGCTGGTGCCTAAAGATGAGAACAGCTTTATCTTTGCTGCCAAGTCTGCTGAAGAGAAGAACAACTGGATGGCAGCCCTGATTTCCCTCCAGTATCGCAGCACCCTGGACCGAATGTTGGATGCTGTACTATTGCAAGAAGAGAATGAGCAGCCCCTGCGTCTCCCCAGTCCAAGCATCTATCGTTTTGCAGTGGAAGACTCTGAGGAGAACATGGTTTTTGAGGACAATCTTCAGAGCAGGAATGGGATTCCGATCATCAAAGGTGGAACTGTGGTGAAACTCATTGAAAGACTAACTTATCACATGTATGCAGGTATCTGGATTTCCAATATAATGTTTTCACATTATTGACTTATGGAAGATATGACCTATGAAATACTTAATTTGGAATTGTGCTTGCCTTTCTAGATCCTAATTTTGTACGTACTTTCCTTACCACATATCGCTCCTTTTGTAAGCCGCAAGAGCTCCTAAGTTTGTTGATAGAAAGGTAAATAAAAAAAAATTCCCAATTCCTTTGTGGTGAATTTTGATCTCATAGTAACAATAATAAAATCACCATATTGGTAAGCTATTGTAATAATTTAAATGTTGGCACTTTTATTTTTGAGCAATCTATTTTAATGGCATTTTCTATCTGTTTTCCAGAATTCACTACATACTTAATTATGTAAAGCTTTTAGAAAGGTTTATGTGGTTTGGCAATATAAAGCTGAAACAGTTTGCATTTAGTTAAAAAGAGATCATGAAGAAAGTCTGCTGGATAAAGATTTCTTTCCTTTCTTTCATTGCATTAATGCTTGGATAATTGATGGTTTACTACTAGTAATTATTTAAGTCCTGGTGGAACAACTGGAGCAAATATTACACGCAGCACATAGCATAAGTTGTAAAAATGTGACAACAGTTTTCATAGTGTTTTACCCAAGCAGAATACAAGTTTGGAATTTGATACTAGGATAAAAGGATGAAAATGGATTTTCAGAAACAGTACAAATTCAAAATTACAGTATTGCATACAATCCATTGGAAAAATGAAGGTTCAAATACTGACCTGTAACCTAAATCTTGACTTTCTTAGAATCCTTTAGATCATTTGCTTGGTTTGCAAACTTCTGACTATGAAGAAAAGACTAGAAAAACAGGTCAAAAGAAACTGAAATTTTCTAAATTTTAGTAATTGTTATGTTTTATGACAAAACTGTTTTCTGAGAAAAATGATGGAATTGCCAACATTCAAGCTCAGTCCAATGACAAAGAAATTCCTCTTCTGTAATTGGCAGCTGCATTCCATTTGTATATTACACGGCTGATTAGGCTTCCATTACAACAGAAAAATCAGTAAGAAAATGGCATGTCCACTATGAGTCTTAGAGCTGAATCCTGTTGCTGATGTACAAAGTGGGACCCAAATCAAAATTATTGAAAATAATTTGAACTCTTTGAAAAGAGATAGAAATACTTTATTTGAGACTTGTTGCTGATACAGAAATATTAAAATGAATTGGATTAATGAATACATAGATCCTCAACAATGTAAAGAATGCAATATTTTAAAAGAGTTAATATCAAACTTTTTAAAAGCATTCTGAATTTTTAAGCCTGATGATTAAGATCTTGATATCAAATGCTGGATGCCAGGGAGTTACAGATCTACTAGCTGTATTTTATATATCTGTTTTGTTATATTGATTAGAACACTATAAACCACTGAGAGTCTTATTGAATAAATATAACAAAAATAAATGAAGAAATTCTTCTTCTTATTCCTTGTTCTAGTTATTATCACGAATGTGTTTCCAAATCTTTCTCTTTTCTTTGTATTCTGGATCTGCTGTGACTATGTTCCAACTTCTTTGTCTTTATTAGATTTGAAATCCCTGAACCTGAACCAACCGAAGCTGATAGGCTGGCAATAGAGAAAGGAGAACAACCAATCAGTGCAGACCTTAAACGATTTCGCAAGGAATATGTCCAGCCTGTACAACTCAGGTTTGAGCTTTTATCTCCTTCATGTTTTTAACTGCATTATCACGTGGGGGAACACTGAGTGATCACTTCACATGAGAAACATAAAGTTCTTGAAAAGAAGTTCTTTATATGAAAACACTTACCTAGAGTTTATATTCTGGTTTTTTTAAATATAATTTTTATTGGTAAGATTGAAATTAAAATAAAAAGAGATAAAGCTTGTGAATACAATTTAAACAATTCAGATTATATATGATAGCCAATTTGGCGTTGTGGTTAAGACACCAGGCTTTAAACTGTGAGACTGCGAATTCTAGTCCTGCCTTAGGCACAGAACCAGTTTACAAAGGTGTAAAATATTTAAAGATGAAATATCTAAAAAGAGTCACCTATTTTGAGAGAAGGGCAGCTATATAAATTTCAAAAATAAATACCTGCCATTGCATGATACTAGAACATTTATGAAGACATAATGAGGGAGAAAAGAACTATACCACAAACAGTATACCGCAGTGGTATTATTTTCATTTATTTTGTTAAAGATGTGGTGGTAGTAAATTATCTCTGTGCCTAAGCATGTCTCAGAATAGATTATTCTGGGAAGTTTGCAGTGTTGCATTTTTATAGTTCCAACAATTCCAACAAAACTATGATTTGTTATCATAGTAAGCCCTGTCCTTTTTTTTTCAATTGAGACTGTTTCTCACTTAAGTATATCTGTTTTACCATCAGTTAGCAAATCTCAGCTTCACTTTGAGAAAATTAAAAATAGTAAAAAATAATAATAATCATCTCTTTTCTCTCTTTTTTTCCTTAAGGGTATTGAATGTGTTTCGGCACTGGGTAGAACATCATTTTTATGACTTTGAGAGAGACCAAGAGTTACTTGATAGACTGGAGACATTTATTTCCACTGTAAGAGGTATACAATTTTAGTTGATAATTTTCTTTAAATGTGAGCACTCGACATTATTTCATAGTTATTTCCTAAATCCCAGTCTTTAGCTTTTTACAAATCCTGAGTGTTCTTTTGATCTGCACTTATTCATGCATCAGAAGACAATGATAGTTCCAGTTATTATGAGACAATGTTATTATATCAATTTCCTTTTTCTGTTTACAAAAAATAAGCATTACATTACATAACTGTTCTGAATGCTTCTGATTTTGTGTCTTGCTTCTTCCATTAAAAATTAGAGTAACATTTCTTATCCTAATTTCATGCATTTTTAGGAAACCTGTGTTCATTATTATGTGAAATGAGAAGAGCTGTGCCTAAAGCATTCATGCTTCCATATAGATAAATAAATGTAAAATCCCACATGCCATTTTATGTAGAATATCTAATACTGTAGTAAAGCGTTCTGATATGTGAATGTCTGCTGAAAGATTGTTTAAATGAGCTTTGCTTAGAGCCTTAAATTTAAGGTTGTTTCCATCAGAATAAAGATACCATTACGTTTAATTTGGAGAACAACTGTAGTCAGGTAGTACTATATAGTTCCAGTATTAGTTATAATTTCTGGTATGTCTAGGGCCGTTAAATGCAGTTTGGGATTAGAATTCTTCTTTTCTTTAATTTTTTGTCATAATTCTATCATAATATTTCTGGACAAAATTTTGTTGTTGAACAAGATTTCCATGGGAGGGATATTTTATAAAATAAGAAATTATGTGCTTTGAGTTTAGAATGTTCCTGGTATCTTTACTTAGCTCAGAAATTCATCTGCTAAAGAATTTGGGGATTAAATGCCTGCTATTCCAAATTATAGTCCTTGGTGATGGTTGAGAAGGCAGACAAAAAGCAGAATGAAATGTGCAAAATGTAGGTTTTATAAGGCATAGGATATTTCTTTCAATAGCCTGCAACTGGCAGAATGGGTATTTTTAGTGCAAATTTAAATTCAGTGGTAGTGATTTCTTCTGATGTGTTTGGGTATTAGACTGCATATCTCATTGCCCACTATAATGCTAAATTAAAAGACCAGCCCTGAAGGTTTTCCTTACTTTTGCAATTAAATGCTATTGGCCTGATTGTAAAAATCATATGTATTCTGCTACAGGGAATTATCATTACTAATTATCATTACTTAAAAATGGGAAGAACCTAATAATTTATCTCACATGTCTCCGTTGCATTTTCAGTGCAGAATACATTTTAAGAAGTGTATACTGTGTATTTGCTAAACAATTTATTATCTCAGATTTGATTTATAAAATATTTTCTCCAAATTGATGTTAATTATTAATACAGGTAGTCCTCGACTTAATTAAACCCAAAATTTATGTTGCTAAGCAAGACATTTGTTGTGTTTTGTCACATTTTACTACCTTTCTTGCCAAAGTTGTTAAGTGAATCAATGCAGTTGTTAAATTAGTAACATAGTTGTTAAGTGAATCTTGCTTCCCCATTGATTTTGCTTCTCAGAAAGTCACAAAAGGTGATCATGTGAACCCAGAACACTGCAAGCATTATAAATATGAATTGGTTCAGTTGCCAAGCATCTGAATTTTGATAATGTGACCATGGAGATGCTGCAATAGTCACAAGTGTGGAAAAATTGTCATAAATTAGTTTTTTCAGGGCCGTTGTAACTTCGAACAATCTCTAAATGAACTGTTGTAAGTGGAGGACCACCTGTAATGGAAGTTTGTTCTGTTTCACATTTGCTGTATGAAATAGCAATGAATTTGTGCTGTGTATCTCTGATATTGAAAACCTTTACATAATCTACCAGCAATGTCTGATGTGTTTTCCAGGCAAATCCATGAAGAAGTGGGTGGAATCCATTGCAAAGATTATCAGGAGGAAAAAACAAGCTCATGCAAATGGCATAAGCCATAATATAACATTTGAGAGCCCTCCCCCTCCAATTGAGTGGCATATCAGCCGTCAGTTTGAGACATTTGACCTCATGACATTGCATCCCATAGAGATTGCTCGGCAGCTAACTCTCCTGGAATCTGATCTCTACAGGTAGACCACTCCTTTGTTGGGTTGACAACTCCTTCCATTGCATAAGTCAAATAGCAAAAGTTCCTTCCTTTGTTAATCAAATTCATTGTGTAAAGTCAATTTGAAAAGTACAGTATGCTATAGTGTAGTATAGAGCAATATCATGATTGCAATACCAGTGCTGTCTGGTTTGATATTTATAGTACTATTAAGTACTCCTTCAGTAATAAGCTAATGTAACATACTGGTTGAAGTATGTTAGCAATAATAGTAAATCCTGAAGTAAACAGAATAAAGCAGAGTTTTTGATAGTAGAGCATAGATTTTGTGTTTGCAAGTTTTATCATTAATACCTGTTAAAAGGATTTTAGATAGAAGCTTTGAAAAGGAATTCTGTCTGAAGTCTTAGTTCTGTCCATTGGAATACCCTCATAAAGGGTGTCCTAAGTACAGCTCCCATTATCCCTTTCATTGACTCATGTTATTGGGCTTCATTGTTCATGTTATTGGACTCATGTTATTGGACTGATGGGAGTTTCAGTCCAACACATTTTGAGAATAAGATTGGAGAAGGCTAAGTCTGACAATCCTGGACCAAAAAGAGCAATGTTTTGATTCATCTTAAGACAGTTTATACGTGAAATAGATCCAGTAGGTCACTAACTCAGAAGTTGTATCTGCAATTCATTTCCTTCAAAGAAATGTGAAGAAAGATACTGATGTAACTTTCTGAAGTAAGAGTACTAAGTACTAAGACAATATATTTAACATGCTTTAATTCACCTAAAGTACAATACAGTGCTAAATATATTTATAACTGAGCACTTGAACAATATGTTGCTATTTCTAGAAGAAAGTAAAAATAATTTATGTTCAAGCTGGGGATCCAACTCATGTTTACTATTTTCTTCTTTGAGTGATGCAAAAGTCAAACAAATAGGGTAGCTACATTTACTATCATTAAAAAAAATGATCACTTGGAATGACAGTTGTATGCCATTATGGTGCTTAACAAGTAAAAAGGGAAGAGCCCATAGTATCTACACAGGTTATTACACTGTAGTTTCACTTAATGAAATGCCTGGAGCACCTTCTGAATTTTCTGTGTATTATACTCTTCCTACTGTGCACATCTGCACCTTCCTATACACACTGTCGTTTTGTTTTGTTTCTGTATTAGGGCTGTCCAGCCTTCAGAACTCGTTGGGAGTGTGTGGACAAAAGAAGATAAAGAAATTAATTCCCCAAACCTACTGAAAATGATTCGGCATACAACAAATCTTACACTTTGGTTTGAAAAGTGAGTAAAGTCACTTATATCAAGATGTGGAGTTTTTATCAGCTCAAGAGCCAAAATTTGGACAGAATGGTGTGACATAGAGGAGGAACTATGTTTGTCAGTGGTTGAAAGGGAATTCTCATTAAATTCACCAACTGTAAACATGCAAAAAAGGAGGGAACAACTTTGTTGTATCACCCAGTCCACTGGAGTCTTAGGGCCACACAATAGCTATTAGTTACCTGCATTTTCTTGTGCCTGTTGTAGCTGCTAAGGATGGGACAGATTTGTAGTGGAAAGTTTGAAGAAAGCTAAACAAAAAGAAAACCTTTCAGAAATAGGTACTTAATAAATGAATATATGATGGTATTATTCATACAGTACATCTGAATTAATGTTGGGGGAGGGGCAAAATGAGAATATGACAATAGTTTTAAAATATTATCCAACAAGCCTCTGTACTGTTTTTTTTTTCTCCTTTTTCTAAATTAGGTGTATAGTAGAAATGGAAAACTTTGAAGAGCGAGTGGCTGTGTTAAGCAGGATTATAGAAATTTTGCAGGTTTTCCAGGACTTAAATAATTTCAATGGAGTTCTTGAAATAGTCAGTGCAATGAATTCTGTCTCTGTGTACAGACTAGACCACACCTTTGAAGTAAGTCTTGGTGACTGACCAATAATCAGAGTGTGACCAATGATTTTAAACTACAGTTTTATACTAATGGCAGCTGTAGTTCAGTATAAATGTGAATAACATGGTGAGAATTATTTCCCAAACTAAGTGATTCTGATAATCTGTGCGTCTATACTTAATTTAGAATTTGCAGGATGGATATCAAAGCAGGAGAAGACCAAGAAAGACACCACGTCTTTAATAAAGCTTAGAAAAGTTTTATTGAGAAATAGCCCATAAATATTTACAGTGTCAGTAGGTTATGACCTCAGTCAGCCAGATGAACCCTAACTGCAGGGAAGGTTAATTTCTCACAAGGAAGCTGGGGAAAAGGGGCGAATCTTACAGTCCTTCTTCCCCCCACCCCACCCTTTGGAATCGTCACCTTAGTTCTGGGATAATTAGCAAGTAAAAATCAATGTCTGTGTTTACACTCATTGGAAAAGAAGAGATTACAAGACAGTAAGCAAGTACACAGTGGGGAATACACTTTGAAAGTATGTGTATTGGTGTCAGCAGGCTTTGAAGGACCACTTAAGGATACAAAAGGAAGCCTTCGGAATCAAATTGATAGGCTCATGCCCATTTCAGATAGCAGTGCAAGCTGGGTCTGGGTGCTAATTAACTAATCAAGGTTGCAGAGCTGAGGTAACTTGCAAGTAGCATCTTTGTCTGCACACAAAGAAAAGCAGTTTAGGAAGAGACAGCTTATCCAAGCGATCTCAGCTCTGTAAGGAAAGGGAAATTCTGAGAAGGAGGGAAAGGAATAAGAAAATAGAAAAAAAAAACCCACCAAGCTATACACAAGACACTGGGTAAAATAACACTTTCTTTGTTTGTCAACTTTGCATCCTGCCTTTTGTACAGGACCTCAACACATAGATCATATCACGTCACATCACAACATAGTATAATAAATTAATGATGAGATTTTTTGGGGGGCGGGGGCAGGTTAAATAAGGTTTCCAATCTGTGATAATGTAAAGTAAATCCTAGCTCAAAGATCATATGTTTACCAATTATTGAATTATTTTGGATTATACTTAAAGAAAAAATGTACATTTTACTATTTTATTTTACTACAGCCATTTATTTCTGTTCTTAAAACATGTATTTTAATAACAAAAAAGAGATTATATAGCAACCAAGATGATTATGTGTAAGGCATTTGGACAGCAAAGACAAGTAATACTGAGAAATGATATAGAACAGAGAGATGTTATGAAGTTGTTGTATAGATTGGTCAGCACTGAATATTGCACAGATATATCCTACAATATCAAAATGTGGATTTTTTTTCTATCCAATATCAGGCACTGCAAGAAAGAAAAAAGAAAATTTTAGATGAAGCAGTAGAATTAAGTCAAGATCACTTTAAAAAATATCTTGCTAAACTCAAATCAATCAATCCACCATGTGTGCCTTTCTTTGGTAAGTTATACAACAGAGATGGAAAAAATGGCTGTTTCTTATATTCCTATTAATTAATAAATGGTTAAGGAAATTGTGACATTCTTTTTAGGGTATTTTGCAGTATCTTTTGAGAGCATCCCTTTCTGCTGAATATTTTTCTTTCCTTGATTAATTTTTGTATGAAAATTAAAATGTATTTAGATTTGAGATGATTACTGAAATGCCCTCAGAGTATGATTCCAAAGAAGTAACATGCTAACTAAATTTATTTGGTATACCATCAAATGCTATCTATTTTTTGCATATTTCAGCCCACTTTGGGGGAGGGGATCTAAGGACATAACATATTACTGGAAGGCATACTAGAAGTTAGCAAACTTATTACTTAATGGTCCAAAATGGTTTAGTGATGTGGCTTCTCTGAGGTTTCACTGAGTTAATTTTGTCAGGAAATTGAGTCATTCTTAAGTTATAGTTGATCCAACAGAAGGTAGTAGTTTTTTTTTCATTTGCTGCTATTCCGAGTTGGACAGCAAAACTTTCACTTCCCTCCCACCATTCAGAAATGTATCAAAAGTTCTCTCAGGCTTGGGGGAAGTGTGTAGGGTCTGCAGGGGAAAAGGGGAATCTTGATGTCTTTTTCTAGTGAACAGGCATGGGTACAATTGTATGTCTCACTGTAAAATGTGCTATAAATTATGTTTATAACGTGTTCTTTTACATTCTTACTTGATAGGGATTGCGTGTAACTTAAGAGGAATCTTACTTCTTATTTATGATTGGTTTTGATAATTTATTACACAGTGCAACAACCCATGAAAATAGGTTGAGTTATTACTTGGATGCAGCAAATAAAAAAAAAATACTTCCCTAAAATTTCCTTGTTGAGTTCTCATAATCTGAAATGTCAACTTCTTTTGTTAGATGTTCTAAAGTTCAAAAAGGTAATGCAATACTTAATGTATGGTTACCATTTAAGGCTAATTTTTCTAAAGGAAGCGTCTCTCTTATGGTCATAAACAAAACAGAAGGCATGGATGTGAAGAAGCTAATAGCCTTTTGCCCTTTCTCTCTATTTAGGGATATACTTAACAAATATTCTAAAGACAGAAGAAGGGAATCCTGACTTCCTAAAAAGACAAGGGAAAGGACTGATAAACTTTAGTAAAAGGAGGAAGGTGGCTGAAATCACAGGAGAAATCCAACAGTATCAGAACCAACCTTACTGTTTACGCATCGAACCAGACATCCGGGTAATTGGACAGCACTGCAGAGAGAGTTCCCTCTGGATTTGATAAGATGACAAATTTTGTTTGGGTATTTTGCTGATAACTAAGCCATGAGTGTAATGCAGCTGCAAAAAAGGCAGATGCTATCCTAGGTTGCATTAATGCAAACAAAGTAGGCAGATCACCGAAAATTTTCCACACTGCTCTCCTACATTCTGAACACCATGTTTCATAACAGGCTGCAACAAATAGCAGCAAATACAGAGGTGGGCTACCAGAAAACCCTTATGAGGAACTGTTAAATTATCTGAATATGTTTAGTCCTCAGAAAATAAACTCTGCAGAGATATGATAGCCCCTTCAAAATATCTGAAGGGTTGTCACATTGAAGTGGAAGTAGACATATTTTCTAATGTTTAAAAGGCAGTGTTAAAAATATGGGGAAGTTGATTCAGGCTAGATTTCAGAAGAAATTTCCTGATGGTAAGAGCTACCAGCCAGTGGAACAAGCTGCTATATAAATAAGTGGGTTGTCTTTGCTAGAGGTCTCAAAGGAGGTTGGAGAGTAATTTTTCAGAGAGTTTAAGTGGAGAGTTGTAGAGCTTTCTAAAGTCCCTTCCAATTATGTAATTGTATATTAGTGTTTTCTACAATGGTGAGAATTAGATTTAGCAGTAACTCACAAAGTGTCCTAAATTCTTAGATTTTCTTTATGAAAATAACAGCTTGTAAAATTAGATGGGAGTACCCTGCAGCTACCATTAAATTGAACTAGCTTTCATATTTCATGTTTGCTTTCAGTTTAAAATGTATAGAAATATAGGTAGTCCTTGACTTATGACCATTTGTTTAACAGCAATTCAAACTTATGATGGTTTCAGAAAAAGTGATTGAAACCTGTTCTCACGACTGTTGCACTACCCCAGTTCAGGCATTTGGCATCCTGCTTGACTTTCTGACTGGTTGCATAACCCTACAGTCACATGATTGTGATTTGCTACTTTCCCAGCTGGTTTTTGACAAAGTCAATTGGAGAATTGGGTTTGCTTAATGACCTTATGACTCTTAAGTGATTCGCAGTAAAAATGATCATAGAATTGGGTTTTGTCATGTAATATTTGCTTAATGAATGCATTACTTAGTGACCAAAATTCCGATCCCAATTGTGATTGTAAGTTGAGGACTTCCTGTAGAGCTATTTGTCCATTTCACATACACTGTGTACACATGCAGTCCCATCCATAAATAATTCCAACATTGCTAAGGTTATGTGAGGAAATAAAATATGATACAGTTTAGAGAGCCTAGGAACAAATGTGATTTCTAGAATCTTGCTGGGATGGGGGTGGGGTAGAGAGGTTGGCATATGCTGACCCTTACTGGAACTTTTTGTTATGATACCTTTTTGTTTTTTCAGAGATTCTTTGAAAATTTGAACCCCATGGGAAATTACCCAGAAAAAGAATTCACAGACTATTTATTCAACAAATCTCAGGAGATTGAGCCTCGAAATTGCAAGCAGCCCTCTAGATATGTAAGTATTCTAATAATGTACCGATGTACTGACAGTTCTCAGTTAATGACAGTAATTAAGACTGGAATATCTGCTACTAAGTGATGCAGATATGATGCACAAGTTCATTTGACTGCATCGTTTAGCAACAGCAGTCCCAGAACTCTCCATTGCCATCGTTAAGCAATGATCAAGGACAAGTTTCAAAACCCGTTGCTACTAGCTCACTCGTGGGTGCGACACTTCTGCACATGCGCAGAAGCATCCGGGCGGGTGGGCAGAGCCTCCTGCCACTGCTGCTACTGGTTCGCCCAATCCAGGACGAACCAGTAGCAACCCACCTCTGATCAATGACACTGAATCCTAGGTAGCTCGCAAGCAGGATGGCAAGAGGCAAAATGTTGTACAAGTACAAGAGCCTTGGTAGTACAGTGGTCTAAGGCACCCTGTTATTAAGCTGGTTATTAAGACCAGCTGCCTGCAATTACTGCAGGTTCGAATCTCGCCAAGGCTCAAAGTTGACTCAGCCTTCCATCCTTTCTAAGGTAGGTAAATTGAGGACCCAGTTGTGGGGGCAATAAGCTGACTTTGTATAAATATACAAAAGGATGAAGGCTATTGCTGAGCACATTGTAAGCCGCTCTGAGTCTCCGGAGAAGGGCGGCATATACATCAAATTAAAAAAAAAAAAAGTGCAACAGGGCAGGGATGGCTACTACCTGGTAGGGAATGGCCCATGAGGCACATTGTGAGCACATCAGGCCAAGAATAACTACCAGTAATGCCAGGCAGGAGGGAGTGCACAAATGGCCCACTAGTATGGCAAGGTTGGGTGTTGCCTGCTGCCAGGTAAGCAATTTACTGGAGCGACTTGCAATTCTCCCTGCTAACTTTCCTATTGACTTTGCTTGTGGGAAGGTTGCAAATAATAAAACTGCAACATCAGTGTGAGCTGGTTACCAAGTGTCCACATTGCAATCACGTGATTGTGGCGGTATTGTGAAGGCTGGAACTTTGAGAACGTCATAAATCTTTTTTAGCACCATCATAACTTCAAACGGTCACTGAACAACTGGTTGATAAGTGAAAACTACCTGTATAGGACTCCATTTGATAGTGTATATATTTAATTTTTAGAAAAAATAATGGGGTGGGGTGTGCTGAGAGATGTGTGCCATTTGCAGAGATACTGCTCTTTTGTCAAACCTGGCAAGATTTCTAGGAAAAAGTATAATAATATCAGTGGCTAAGTATTACCACCACAAAATTACTTTGTAGTGTTAAATGGTATTTTACTGTGGACTGTTCTGAATTATTCCACATAATTAATGTAAGCATAATTATTGCTTACATTAATCTAAGCCCTCAAAAGATGTTTTGTTTTGTTTCCAATGGAGAACTGTATTTCAAAGCAAAATGAAAATTTTGCTTCCTTCTCTATTGGAGGAGATATCAAAGGCGTGCCATCAAATGTAGTTTGAAGAGAGGTATTGTTGGAATTAACATTTCATTCTTAAAAGCAAAAGATGGTTTAGGAAAGAAAAAAAGCAATTTTCTTAGTTTAGCATGATTAGTCTTTTTTGCACTGATTTATTTCCTTGTATTTTTAAACATAAAGCAAAATAGCTCAAAGAAACAAAAGGGGATAAAACTGTGGGATTCTTTTCTCTCTCTTTTAGCCTAGAAAAACTAGCTACTCTCTAAAATCTCCTGGAATAAGGCCAAATGCTGGCAGGCACAGCTCCACATCTGGCACTTTGAGAGGCCATCCAACTCCTCTTGAAAAGGAGCCGTATAAGATTAGTTTTAGCAGAATCACTGAAACTGAACAGGAGTCTGCAGCATCGGCACCAACCTCACCAAACATACCATCCACTCCTCCAGTGTCTGCATCATCAGAAGTCAGTGTATTCATAGACATTGATCTCAATAGCTCCTTTGGTAAGTATTCTTACATTCTCAAATTACAATAAAACTAAACTAAAATTATCTCTCATATTTGCAGGTTTACTGCTCTACCGTATTATGATAAATTTGTCTTAGAGAGGTGGATGGGAATACTTCTTCTGAAATATTCTAGTCACTGAGTTAATGTATTTTGAATGCAGCATTTTTGTCTTTTAACTTTTGAGACCTAACTTTTGAGAAATACAAGATGTATTTCTTTTTATGCCATTTATAACTGAACTCAAGTGTTAATGGCACAATGGAGATCGATGATTTAGCCCCCAAATCTTTATCCTCACTATTTCTTTTCTATTCCTTAACTTTTTATTAGGCCCATGCAAAACATTAAAACAAAGAGCCCTCTTTGAATCATTAAAGCCACTCCATGTTTTGCAAAGCTCATATGCGGCTTCAGCAGTTCCCATCTGTCATGAATGAGCCTGCAGAGCCCTTTGTGTCACTTTCTTCACATGCCTGGAGATCCAGGCATTTCTGCCATAGCCACTTGAGTCTTGCAAAACACTGTGCAGGTAGTCCTTGGATTATGATGACAATTGGGGCCAGAGTTTCCATTTACAGTGTGGTTGTAAAACATGACATCATGTGGCTGCATCACTTACTGATGGCAGTCCTGGCACTCCCTGCTGCCCTTGTTAAACAAAGATCATGGGTCATTAAGCAAGCATCTACTCACAACTTCCTGCTGTCTTCCAAAAAAACCAAAAGGGATGCTGGCAGGAAATTGTAAGTCCCAAACAGCTCCCAAGCAGCAGATGGGCAGGTAAGTGGGCTGCTGCCACCTGGGGGAGGATGCGTGAGTAGCTAGTGCAGAGTAAGTGTTGTAGAGTGACTTGCCAGTGGCAGAAGGTGAGGGAGAGTGCACAAGTGGCTGGCGCAGTGTGATGTTGGGAACATTAGGGCCACGGGTTGCTCCTCCCAGGTGAGAGAGGATACACAAAGGTATATAAGTGGCCAGCATGGCACAGTTTGAGTATAGCAGGACTGAGGATGGTTGCTACTGTGTGGTGGAGAGTACACAGGTAGCACTTGAGACAAGGCGTGAGTGCTTTGGGGCCAGGGGTGCTCTGGGGCCAGAGCAGGGGTGCTATTCAGCAGGTTCTGACAGGTTCTGGAGAACTGGTAGCGGAAATTTTGAGTAGTTTGGAGAACCGAACTACTGGCTGGCCCCAGAGTTGGATGGGAATGGAGATTTTGCAGTATCCTTCTCCTGCCATGCCCACCAAGCCACACACGCCCACCAAGCCATGCCCATACAACCGCTGGTAAAAAAAAATTGAATTCCATCACTGGGCCAGAGGTGGCTGTTGCCAGGTTTGTGAAGGGCTATTGAGGTGCAGTAGGGCTGGGAGTGGTTGCTGTTGGGTGGGAGAGTCTGTGCAGGTAGACATTGAAGTACAAGCATGGAGGTGCTAGGGGTGGCTGCTGCTGGCTGTCTAAGGGTGCATGAGAATGTGTAGATGGCCACTGAGGTATGAGTGCAGCAGGTGCATGGGTAGCCACTGTGGGCAGAAGGTTACTACAGGTACCATAACCAGGCTCTTTGGAGGAAAAAGTCACCAGAGAGCAAGTGACTTAACCAAAGCAATTTGCAACCTTATCTGCTGGCTGTTCCATTAACTTTGCTTGTGAGAAGCAAATGGTGATTATGTGCACAGGACTCTGCAACCATCATAAATGCTGGGTGCCAAAGACCTTAGATTGACCAAAGGGATTCTGAGACAGCCAGAACTTTGAGGATCTTTGTTAAGTACCACTCATTTAACACTGTCATAACTTTGAATGGTTGCTGAAAGAGTGATCATTAACCAAGGACTACCTGTAGAGAAATGCTTTCCACAACCCTATGCTTTTTATGATAAACCCTGCTTCGAAGAGCTTAGAGCAAAATGCTTGCGGGTTAACTGTTCCTCTTTTCTTAGTAATGAAATATTTTATTTCCCACATTACTGTCTTCCTAAATTCATTCTACTTTCCCCTACAAGCCACAAAATCCCCCTTGAAGACCCCGGTGCCTGAGTCAAAGATCAGTTTATCATCCTGGCTGGTGTACTGGTAGGAAGAATTGAGTTTGAAAACGTTAGACTCTCTTGAGGAGAGAAAGCACACCTGCACCAATAAGAGCTAGTCAGATCCCACCTCACAGAGGTGGCCTGATTATGCCAAAGGAGGGAGAAGTTTTTGATTGCGTCCTTTCTGCCTTTTCTCCACAGGTAGCAACAACAGCATATTTGCTCCTGTCCTTTTGCCACAGTCAAGTAAGTACTTTGGCTGTTCCTTAGAATTCCATTGTCTCTTTGTATATATATATATGCAAAAGAACAGCAAGAGTCACTAATCCTAAAGTTGTATGATCTTTAGCCCTGTTTAAAGCTGACAAGGGGAATAACAAATGAGCCAATTGACATTTTGAGGGGGTGATTTTCAGATTCTTTTGGGGAGGTTGGGGCTTTAGGGGCAGTTTTGAGGGAAAATATGGGTGCCTTAAAGTTTGGTGAGACATCAGAAAATGCCAAACCTCCTAAAAAATTAGAGCAATTGCTTCCTTTTTTTGAGGGTTAATGTGCACAAAGATTTATTGGTAACATTTATATTTGGCCAGTTTGGTGTAGTGGTTAAGGTGCTGGCCTTGAAATGAGGAGACTGAGTTCTAGGCCTCCGTCCATGAAAGCCAGCTAGATGACTGTGAACCAGTCACTCACTCTCAGCCCAACCCCCCTCATAGGATTGTTGTGGGAAAAATAAAGGTAGGGCTATTAGATATGTTCACTGTGTTAAGTTGACACGTGTGTGCATGTGTGTGTAATAATATGACCAGCCAACTCAGATAATATGACACTAGATGGTGTACAAAATCATTAAACAGAAATATAAAGCAACACTAAAACAAAACAATTAAATGGCTATCAGAACTAAAATGATCCTATCCTACCAGGACTTTGCTCATTCTGATCCAGTGCCTGTGGAAACACCCAGCTCTTAACTGCCTTTCTAAAGGCTTGCAGGCTTGTAGCCAAAAGCCAGTTAGGTACTCAAAACCTTTGCAGTTGTTTCCCTTGACCTCACTATTGTCAACCTCCAAAATACTAAAAAAAAAAAAAGTCCAAAAATGTCAGCTCCATTCACCATAGAAAACTGCCCATAGATTTTCTCATTCTGTCCTAAAGACAGACGCTATTAAAATACAGGTAGAGAAAGCAAAACATAAACAAGGATATAGAAGAGAAGAAGAGAGGAGAGGAAAGGAGAGGAGAACAACAGTACAGAACAGAACAGAACAGAATTCTTTATTAGCCAAGTATGATTGGACACACAAGGAATTTGTCTTTGGTGCATATGCTCTCAGTGTACATAAAAAGAAAATATACGGATAGTCCTCAACTTACAACCATTTATTTAGTGATCATTCGAAGTTACAACAGCACTCAGAAAAGCAACTTACAACCATTCTTCATACTTAGTGTCGTATCATTCCCACAATCGTGATCAAAATTTGGGCTCTTGACAGTTGAGCATCCTGGAGTCATGTGATCGCCATCTGCAACCCTCCCAGTTAGCTTCCACAAGCAAAGTCAATGATAGAAGCCAGATTCGCTTAATGACCACATCATTCACTTAACTGCAGTTATTTGCTTAACCATGGCAAAAACTATTGTAAAATTGGATATGATTCACTTAGCAACCGCCTTGTTTAGAACTGAAATTCTGGTCTCAGTTGTGGTTGTAACTCAAGGACTATCTGTATCGAAAATAGAAAAATATTTGCTAGGGCTTATACATTTAACAAATAAGGTTTCAAAAGATTCAGTATGCAATCACACACTCCTAATTCTCTGGTTTGTTCTTCAGAATCATTCTTTAGTTCATGTGGGAGTTTGCATAAATTAAGTGAAGAACCCCTGGTTCCTCCTCCTCTGCCTCCTCGCAAGAAATTTGATCAGGAGCTTTCCAACTCAAAGGTAATCTTATATTTAAAAGAAACTTATTTATGTGTACAATATTTGTAGATTATGAGCAAAGTAGAGATCTTGTAGCTGTATGTGATTTTATTTCTCACCACTCAGTCTCCCTATAGTTTCTTCTGTGTTTGTGCATCTGCAAGTGCCTCCTCTCAAAACAACACATACCCACTTGCTTGTTAATTAGCTCATGTGCCAATTTCATGTCTGCTGCATTAACCATCTCAAACATGGCTTGTTGATATTTCCAGCCATTTTGAAATACTATAAGACAACACCGGTGTATAAGGCGCCCCAAGATTTCAAAGAGTCTTCTGAGAGGGGCGGCATGCAAGTTGAATTGAATTAATAAATAAGTAAGAAAAAAAAGGTTTTTGCCCTCCCCGGCCTCCAGGAACACTCTGCAGGCCTCCCAAACCCTCCATGTGCCCCCATTTTTCACAAAAACCGGCCCTTTTTTGCGGAAAAATGGGGCACAGAGAGGGTTTGGGAGGCCTGCAGAGTGCTGCTGGGGGAGGGCAAAAACGCCCCCATTTTTGCAAAAAACGGGTCTGTTTTTTGCAAAAACTGTGTTTTTGCCCTCCCCAGCCCCCAGGAGCACTCTGCAGGCCTCCCAAACCCTCTGCACACCGTTTTTGTGAAAAATGTGCCCATTTTTCGCAAAATTGGGACAAGTGGGGCGGGGCTTCAGGAGGCCAAAAATTATTGTATTCAGTGTAATTGTTGTATTCGGTGCATTTCCACCCACTTTTAGGGGGGGAAAAGTGTGTCTTATACTCTGAAAAACATAGTACCTGTTTTTAGAGCTGAAATCCATACATTTTGGTGGATTACATTAAACCATTAACTTTAAATCAAACTAAAATAGTTTACTCTCTGAGGAGTTATTTGAGTTCAAGAATGCTGAAGAGGTATGGAATGTTATATCTTGAGAATATCAGTGTTTTAATCCTGGAAGGAAATTTGGAGACGCATGAGGTTTAATGCAGGTTCTTGCTCAAAATAATTTACATTGGGAACAGTTTGGATGATTCTGCTCATATGTGTTTCAGGGAGGTTCCAGGTCTGATGATGATCCTCCTGCTGTCCCCCCAAGACAGCCACCTCCTCCAAAGATACAGCCACGAGTCCCAGCTTACACTGGTTTGTTTGATCAGCCGCTGCAAAGCCCTCCACCACCTCCACCAAGAGACCCTCTGCCTGACACTCCTCCTCCAGTGCCCCTTCGCCCTCCAGAGCACTTTGTGAACTGCTCATTCAATCTTCAGCCACCCCCTGTGGGACACTTTCACAGAGAGCCCGACTGGCTCCGGGAAGTTAGCACATGCCCAAACTCCCCCAATACTCCTCCTGGCACCCCATCACCTCGAATATTGCGTCGCTGGTGCATGCTTAGCCCAAACCTTAATAGCCTTGCAGCACCTCCAGTCCCACCTCGCCAGAATTCCAGTCCTCAGCTACCAAAACTGCCACCAAAGACTTACAAGAGGGAACTTTCTCACCCTCCTTTGCACAGACACTCTTTGCTAGAAAATGCAGAAGCGCCTCAATGACCTTCATTATGGTAGTCATTGACACTGGAATAGCAGCTCCTAACTTTACGGTTTCTCCTTAATTTATTCCAATGACACCGTGTATTTGAGCCCTTTGTCAGGCAAACACATGCACCAGAGTGCTGCAGATCAAGACTCATCCTCAAGCATTGGAACAACAACAGCCTTCAGACTCACTCTAGCCTGTTTACTCACACCATCAATCTTCTCCTCAGGGGATCAGTAACACTGCCTTCTCCTCTTCCTCTTCAGTGCTGTGACAAAGAAAACCATATTTTGCACTGTAAATGACACACTACATTAATTTTAAACTGACATCAGTTCATTGTACTGAGCCAAAACAAAAGTGGTTACTCGTGGATTTTTTATTTCCAAACTGGAGCATGAGCAGCCTTTTCTCTCCATATGTGTGTATGTGTGTGTGTGTGTGTGTGTGTGTGTGTGTTTAAAGGTGCAATTAATTGGAGAACCTTCTCCAAACTGGTGTCTTTAAGCTGTATCAAGACTGTAATCTTAGCCAATATGGCCTTTTATAAAGCACCAGGTAAGATGCATTGAGAAGTGCTCATGAAGCGTTCTCACCCAAGCCGAGTTGCAGTGAATAGATTCATTTCAATGTGATTTACCTGGGAGAACTTTCAAGTGGATGTGCCCAATTGACGCCATAATTGATGGACTTCCCAACAAACATGAAGACCCATGTCATGTTTCTAATTTTGTTTTTATAAATCTATTCGAATACTTTCTTTTCAGGAAAAAAATTAAAATCAAGAGGTTTGTGCTAGACCATTATATTACTGCTGTTTTCAAATGTTAGGTGACATCATGTCTTAATTTTTGTAGTTTTGCTGCTGAAATTGGGAAACGATAAATGACTAAAACAAGAGTGTGCACTACAATTGGCCCAGTTAAGTGAGAAGCAGAAAAGGGTCTGCTTCACCCACCTGTTCAAGAAGAATTCAGCACGTATGTCCTATTCAGTTGTGCCTTCATTGTTTAAACAAGCGGAGGTGTCTTAAGCTAAAAAGTTGCCTGCTGTTTTGGCGAACAAAGCTATTGCGCCATATTATGTACAGTTGTTTATAAAGTATAATTTACAAAGTAATAACCTGTATACATTTCTGTGACTTGAGGCTTCTTCTGCAATCTGTTCTTTCTGTGCATTATATTATTGTAAGCATTTCTCTACATATTAGTGATGAAAACCATATTATAATTACCCTTCTTTCTTCAAATTAGAGCTTTACTATCATTATGGGGTCCCTTCTGAAAATGTAGTGTTTAAACCAGCAGATATTGAAGAATGCTATTTTGGACTCTTTGAAACTTAAATGAGACCTTCCTCTGGCCAGTTGAACTCTGTTCTTTTCCATTCAAGCTGGCATATTAAATGAGTCTGGTTTACGTATTTAAAGAGATCTGAAGAGAGTCTGGTAGCACCTTTTTCAATTAAGTTTTTTTTTAAAAAGCATAAGCTTTCATGATGTGTAGAGTAACTAGACTTTGCCCACTTTAAGATGGGTGGACTTCAACTTCCAAAATTCCTAGTCAGCATGCTGGATCAACCAGTCCACACAACCATGGCTAAGTTGAGATAGACTGATATAGGATTTAAATAGGGATGATAGGAAAGGAGGGGATGACAGGTTGGTGATATAGATAGAGGTTACCTATGAGACAGATTAGCAGTATCTTATTGATTAACAATTGTTGTTTTAAAATCCCTTTATATTTGTTGTTATCTTGAGCTTGCCTAAAATGTTTTGATGTATAGGTAATACAGATAGACTAATGACCACAATTGTGACTGGAACATACATTGTAAGTCATTGTGATCATAAGTCTAGTCAAACCTAATTTTATGACTATTTTTACAGTGGGCATTAAATAAATCACACAATTGTTAAGCAAATCCAGCTTCCCCTATGGGTGTTTTTTCCCAAAAATTGGCAAAAAAGAGCATAAAGTACAATCATGCGACTGCAGGATGCTACAAGAAGTCATAAATGTGAATCAATTACCAACCAAATTGCGATCACTTGGCTATAGGGATGTGGTAAGTGCAAGTGCAGGTCATAAATCCCTTTTTCTAAGGTCATTGTAACTTTTGAACAATTGTAAAAAAAAACTATCATAAGCCAAGGACTATGGTATGCACATTCAGCAATCTCTTGCTCAGTAATGACTTTAAAATGGGTTGGTTGAAATAGGTGCTACCAGGATTCCTTGGGATTTTTTTTATGACTAGGCTCTTTCACAATGTTCAAGTACTGTAGAATCCAAAAGCCTTCTCTTGACTGCTCTGTGGCTTTTTACTGTTCTTTGTATCAGAGTTCTTAACCAGACTAATAAATCACCTGGTCTTAATTTTTAAGAAAGCCTGTTCCAGTTATATTATTCTTGCAAAGATTATCATATTAAGAAAAACAGATGAAACTCCTTAGAACTGTCTTTAGGCAAGTTGGTGCCAAAGGCAGAAAATCCAGCATGGTACATTCCTCCTTTCCACTATTACAGAGATTAAACAAGTTGATTGTTTGCCCAATATCACCTGCTTGTGGTGATAACCAGGGGTGCTTAAATCCGGCTGTGGGGCTGTCCTGGAAATATCAAAGGACCAGCCTGCAGTGCCTCTGCCAGCCAAAATGGGCAACGTGCCCCCCGCCCCCCATTTTCAGCCTCCTGCAGCACTCTGCCGGCTAAAAATGGACCACACGGAGGCCTCTGCGAAGCCCATTTTTGGCCGGCAGAGTGCTGCTGGAGGCTGGGGAGGCCGAAAACGGGCCTCGCGTGCTCTCCCATGTGCCTCATTTTTGGCTGGCAGAGTGCTGCTGAAGGCCATTCAGGCCCAAAACGGGGCAGAAGTGGCCGCACGCAGTGCCCCGTGCCCTGTTTTGGCCATCGAGGTGCTGCAGGAGGCGTCCGTCCCATCTCCCCCCCCCCACCAGCCCCTATAGAACTACAATGCTGATCCAGCCCTCGAAGAAATCCAGTTTGACACCCCTGTGGTAAACTCTCACCCTATGTGATATTTAAGCCAAAAATTCCAAGAGCTGGTAATGGTTCAGAAAACAGTTAAAACATTCATAAAAATGCAAGGGAAGGGAGTTACAAGAAACTCTTACATTACTTTTTTGGGGAAAATAATTCTTAATAGAGCTGTGTAAAATAGAACGTGCTCAAAGTAAACCAGGACTTTTCAGATTAGAAACAGCCACTTGGAACATTTCCAGAGCATTCTGGAAAGTTGGAATATCTACTTCTATTTCAAAATGGGAAGTTTCAAGCTCAGATGTGGGGTCAGTTCAAAACAGTCTGCACATGATTGGTTATAAATTTGTGTAAATACAGAGACTAATGCTAGAGAAAAACCAAAGAAACTCTTAAGTTTTGGAAATCAAAAGATTTCACTAAAAACGTTATCTGTACTCTTGCTATGGATGCCTATGGAGATTCTCAATCATCTAAGTCATGGTTGTCACAAAGGTGCTTTTCAAAAGGCAACTGGACTTTGTTTTTTTTCTTGAAAACATTTTGCTTCTCACCCAAGAACTGAAGAAGCTTTTTGGATAAGTGAAACATTTTCAAGGAAAAAAACACGGAACGCCAGTTGCCTTTTGAAAAGTACCTTTGGGACATGTCTATGGAGATTCTCGGTCATCTAGGTCAGGAGTGTCAAACTTGCCTCGTCACCTGATGTCACAACTATTTTACTCTTTGCTAAACCGGGCGTGGGTGTGGTTAGTGTGTGACACATGCGGCCCGTGGGCCATGAATTTGACAGCCCTGATCTAAGTCATGGTTGTCCCAAAGGTGCTTTTTCAGGAAAGGACCTTTGGGTCATCTTGCTATGGATACTTTTTACTAGGTATTGCATAAAATACACACCGGTTTCCCTAACAACAAAGAAAACTCCTTACCAGTTGTTATTTATGCTCTATTATTGGTGCATGTAGCCATTAGTAGTTTGCAAGTCTTATTTTAATATTTATTATGCCCTTAGAGCCAGAAAACATCAAATATGCATAGCTTGCAAGTTAAAACTAATATTATGGCAACAGATAGGAGGGGAAAAAATGTATTTGATACTAAAGAAAATTATACCATATTATGGCATGTTTTGTTCTGAGTTAAGATGTCATGTGCACCTAACGATTTTGTTATACAATTAACAATTCTGACTCATATTACATGTGAATCCATTCAACAGTGGCTTATTCAAGAAACTTGTTAAACAATACATGGTTTGTTGTAACATCCAACATATTTGAAGACAGGTCATGTGAAATGAGTCCCATTTGCACATAAGAGGTTGATGCTCTATTCATATGAATAATTAATAAAAGGTTTTTGTATGTTCACAGTTTCAAATATTAAAACCAAGTCTTGATAACTCATGGAAACTCAGTTTCTTGCATCAGAAAGGTAAAGATTGCTTCTGATAATTTGATAATACCCAATTTTTAAACTCAATAGAACCTACATCAGAACTTTCCACAGTGCTTTAGAGTTTCATGGAAGTTTGCCCCAACGAGGCCGGGAATGAATGCTTTCTAAGATACATAAAAGGTGATTTGGAATATTTGTGGTACCGGTTCTCAAGACAATAAGGTTGCACTCAACATGTTTTATGAAGTCAGGTAAAGATCCAACAGGTGCATTTGCATAATATACTAATCTGGGTTTGTGATAACCTTGTCCAATTTTTTTTTGGCTTGGCGTAACCTGCTTGGATAGCACAAGATTGAATGTATTGTGTAAACTCAAGAAATGTAATTATTCAATAACCAGGTAAAGCCTACAGTGTTGTATTTATGCAGCCAGGATGGGTCTCATTGCTGTGTGAAAGTAACAAAATAGCTTTTCCTACTATGAGGAACAGAATACTTTCTACACAGGTAATTTCATTCTGATATACATGGTTTCATCTATGATCACCTTTTTCTTAAAAAGAGGCAGCAAATATAAACATACTGAATTAGATATTCAGAATAAAGGGACTGTATGTGTGTTTGGTATGGGCTATGGGCAGCTTTGCATGATCTTGGTGTCCCATCCCACCTGATCAGACTCAAACAGCACTGTACACTGATCAGGATGCAATAGTGAGAACGCTTTATGGTGATACAGATTGGTTCAGAATCAGTAAGGGAGTTAGGGATGTATTTTATCACCTTTTCGTTAAATCTGTACGTTGAAGTGATTATGCGGAAATTAGATCTGGAACTGCCTGATGTTGGAATGAAGATTGGGGAAGAACCATAAATAATTTGAGGTACACAAGTGATACAATACTATTGGCTGAAAATAAGGAAGACCTGGAAAAAAAAGTCTGGAAAATCAAGAAAGTGAAAAAGTAGGACTGAGTCTTAACATCAGAAGAACAAAAATAACGATAACAGCTGCAGATGGACATGAGATGTTTAAAATCAACAAGAAGGAAATTGAAATAGCTTGAGAATTTATCTTCCTTGGATCCAAAATTGTTCATGATGGCAGTTCTACTCCTGAAAACAAATGCAGAATAATCTTAGGCCACACTGCAAGGATTAACAAGAAGTAAGATTTGGAAAAGCAGATATCTTGATATAAATGCAAATGGCAGGCTAGGTAGAGCAATAGTCTTCCCTATAACGATGTATGAGTGTGAGAGTTAGACACTAAGAATGGCTTATCGAAGTGTTGGAAGAAATATTCTACAGAATTCATATCTTTGAACTGTAGTGTTGGCATAAATTATTAGGTATACCACGGACAGCCAGAATACCAGTGAGGTGTTAAATTGTATAAAATCAGAGACAACACTAAAAGCTAAAATCATAACACTGTGTTTGATTTACTTTGGCCATGCCATGCATGCAAATTCATTGGAGAAGGCAATGATGCTAGGAATGGCTAGTGGAACAAGAAGGGCAAGCAGCCAAACATGCTGGCTTGATAACATCAAATCTGACAGTTGAACATCCAACAACTGAAAGGAGCAGTGCTTGACAGGGTAGCATGGAAAGCATTTGCCTATGAAGTGGGCAAGAGTCGGACACGCCTATATATTTAAACCAACCAACCAATGAATATATGTATTCGTTCAATTTCAATAACTGCCTATCCTCCAGGCAGCCAACCATCAAATCAGCTGAGACTAAGTACAATATTACAGGGCTAGTCATTCTTTCTCAGCCCAAACTACTTCATGCGATTGTTGTTGTGGGGGAAATAGAAGAGAAGAGAAAATGGATAGAAACGGGACATCAGCCGAGAAAAAAATAATGCATGTCAATGCAACCAAGAAATACAAAACCAGATTTTCAAGGCCTGGCAAAAGGGCGGCAGGATTGGGGCCATCCTAATCTCCCAAGGGAGAAGGTTCCCCGAGGGCAGAGACCTCGTGCACACAGATAGATTCACAGTTACATGAAGCAGCTATGTCGCTTTTTCCCTAACTGCCCTCATTCATGGCTGCCCCGTCACTTCTGCCGCCGCCGCTGCTATTCTCACGTTGTCCGCCTATTCTTATCCGGAGAGACACGCCCTTCGCGTACGAATTCACGGAGTCAGGGACTGGAAGAAAGTCTCTCCGCTGATCCTTCGGAGCGCCGCCGGGCAGCTGCGAGCAGAAAAGAGCGGCTGCCCGGTCCCCCCTTCCTAGCTGCCAGTCAGAGGGCGCCGCCGGAAAACAAGGCCGGCCTTGCCCGCCCTTCCTTCATGTCGCCACCGCCGCCGCAACCGCCGGTCTTCTTCGAGCGGGAGCTGCCCCGGCGGGACGGCTCCGGGATCCTCCGGCTGACGCAGCGTTCGGCCGGCGGGACGGGCTCGGTGGTGTGGGACGCCGCGCTGGTGCTGGCCCGCTTCCTGGAGAAGAGCGCGGCGCAAACAGGGCAAGGCACGGAGCAGAGCGGCGGAAGCCCGGTGGGCCTTCTCCGCCACAAGGCCGCGCTCGAATTGGGAGCCGGCACCGGCCTCGTCGGCCTCGTGGCCGCCAGCCTCGGGTACGGGAGCGAAGGCAGGCGGTGGGTGGGTGGGTTGGGGATCCTGAGCTGCCGGCCCTTCCCTGGGCATCGCTGCCCCGTTTTGGCCTCCTCCCCTGTATGTTCTCTCGGCCCTGGCAGAGAAAAGGGCAACCCCCACGAGGGGTGAACCTTTATCTGTGTCGCTTCTGTGTGGAAATCAGCTCTGCCAGCCACCCGGGGCTTCTGATGGAAGCAGAAAGGAGACGATGCCCGCCCCAAGAGCCCTGCTACCATCTCAACACCTTCCTGATCAGAGATTATTACCAAGAACGTTTTTCTTTAGCCCTTTTGGGGATGTACTTACTTACTTACTTACTTACTTACTTACTTACTTACTTACTTACTTATTTACTGGTACTTACTTACTGTTCATGTTTCTGAACCACCCATCTCCCTCAAAGAGGAACTTTTTACACAAGTCGGGGACTACTTACACAAAGTGCAAAAAGCCTTCCCCCCCCCCCCCCACCATGGCTATTGAATAAATCCAATTTGGGCAGGCTTACACTAAGCCAGAAATAATTGCTTACAAATTGTAATGGCTGTATTCATTCAAAAAGTTAAGCAATAAACAAGTCACACTACATCTTAGCATGTCAAGTGAAATAGTTAATTATAGGCACAGCACTGATGATGCAAAATTCCCTCTATGCCTGCTCCATTGGAGGAAGAGAGAGAGAGAGAGAGAGATTATTTTCTTTCTAGGGCTATTATAAAGGGGTTATTGCAGTTATTTGAAAGTAAGTTAGGGCATATTTCACGTGTAATATTTTCCAGCTTAACTTGTATCTAATTTATTTGCCAGGAGATCTGACTCTGTGTTGCCTTAATACATTTCGTTCTGTACGTGATTTGCTTTGGCAGGAATTTCCTGTACATGATTTGCTTTGGCAATTCAAATTTCTTTAAAAATTTACATTGTGGGAGGGAGCCATGCTTGTCTACTGTAGTAAATCATCAGTATGGATTCTGATAGCGCCTTTTCCAACTAACATCTTATTAAAAGGAAGATCATTTTATCAGATGTACACAAAACTAAACCCCATATTAGTCTTAGCCCAGTGTTTCTTAACTTTGGCAGCTTGAAGATGTGTGGATTTCAACTCCCAGAATTCCCCAGTAAGTGTAGACAAATTTGAGAAACCCTGGTCCAGCCACTCTGTGCATCAGATGAAGTGAGCTGTAGCTCACAAAATTTTATGCCATTCAATAAATCGGTTTAATCATAAAAGACGCTGCCACCCTTCAAAGAAATTGAGTGGTGGGTTTTATGCTTTCATGCTGTTTTCTGCCTTGTATTGCTTGAATAATATGGAGGACCAGGAATACTAACATATTTTCCTTCCACCTTTTTTATAGAGCAAACGTTACTGTTACTGATCTGGAGGAAGTTCAGGATTTATTAAAAGTGAACATTGAGAATAATCAACATCTAGTGTCAGGTTCTATTCAAGCCAAGGTACTGAAATGGTTTGTATTAATTTTTTATTTTATTTACTTTAAGAAATTGAAAACCAATTTTGGTTAATCAGACAGAAACTAACAGAGGCTAATTTATTTTATATATTTAATCATATTTTTAAACCATCTCCCTCACAGACAGAAGATGATAAGATTAACTAGACGGATGAAATATTTTTAGCCTACTTCAGTCTGTAATACAAAGGATCTTGATAAATTGTTGGAGTGATTATATATATTTAAAGTTACACTATAAAGTTTGATAAGACTTTGGAAAAATTTAAATAAATGATACATCGGATGTGCATCTAACTATACTGCTTTAAGAAACTTGGCTAAAATTCAGGCCCCACATAAAATAACTAATGAATCAAATGTTATTTCTATATTTTTTTATTAGATTGATTAGATTTATATGGCCATCTGCTCATATAAAGCAATTCTGGGTAACTAAAACAATAAAAATACTGGAGTTCGGTGGCCAATAAGTTTAAATTATTAATAATGACAAGAACAACATTACTAAAATAACTAAATTCTATAGATAAGACACATCAGGAAACAAAGAGAAAAATGACCACTGAAGATAAACCAATCAATAACAAATACTCCCAATATTGTTTGTGTTACGTCAATGAACCTTCATGGCTTTAGGCTAGATTACTTATTGTGTTTTGTTAGATTTGGTAAGAAGGCCTATTTCAGGTGCTATCGCCAAGAGATACCATCCAGCAGGACCCAGGAAGAGAGCCTCTTCTGCCATGGCATCCATCTTCTGCAATATCATCCCCTCAGAGTAATTATGCCCTGAACTTGCTGGTCTTTTGCAAGACATTACAAACTTGTTTTTGCCCTCAAGCCTGGAGTCATGATAGTGTGGATGATCCTGTTTCTGGGTCATGATTCTATTAAATATGGGATGGCATGAGTGGTCTCAGCTGTTATCTTTTTTTAATATTGTTTTTAATTGTGGTTTTTTTAAATTCTGTTTTTAACTGTTAGTCCCCCCTCCCCCGAGATTCATGTGAGATAGACAGCCATATAAACTATGGTAGTTAAATAAGTAATCCATAAGTCTTTACTCCTTTTATTCACATGTTTAGGGGGGAGGATGTGACAGATTTTCTTCCTGCGCCTGATTTCATATTGATGGCAGATTGCATCTACTACGAAGAGGTAACTGCATTCCATTAATTAATATTAGTGGGCTAAGAATAGAGTTGAGGGCAGGCAAAGAATCTCTAGCTTTGTAATTGGATTAAACTTGTGACATCCTTTGAACTGATTTTGATGCTGTGAGATCATTGTAGAAATGCCACAGTAAAATGATAATCAGTGGGCTATTTTTTTCTTTGTACAGTAGGGTATACAAAGCCTATGAACACTTTTGAGACTTTGACCAGCGAACTGAACATTTGAGTCTTACGTTTTGCCACAAGATTTCTGAATGACCTTGAGGAGCCCACCCTACCCAAATTCTTTAAAATTACATTTATTATGGTTAAAAAAAATACCTGTCCTTCTGTTAAAGGGCTAAGGTACCTGCACCCATCTTGTCCTCACATCATTTCTGTAAGATACCCACAGGCAGTGATAGTGAGTAGTCCAAGGTTATCCAGCGAACTTCATAACTAAATAGGATTTTGAGTCCAGATTTTCCAGTTCTGGTCAGATGCTATACATTTAGGGTAGACAGCCAAGGGTCCCAGTTACGTTTTAGACTACAATTCCCATAAACCTCACTCAGCATGACAATTTATTCATGATTATGAACGTTGGAACCTAGGCAATTCTCTCCTTCTGAAACTCCTGCGTCATCTTATCTCAGTCTAATAGAATCACATAATGTTCAAATATTTTTGATTGTTATTTCCATTTTATTTATGCTTTCTTGGGTACTGCTGGTAAAGTAACTTGTGGCTCATTCAGCCAACTGTATCCATTTGTGGTAGCTCACATTATTGCTTAGAACGTATTTTTTCCTGAGAAACCCTTTGAGAGGTTTCCTTCTCAGGATTGTTCAAACTCTTTAGGAATATTCAACAGCTGCCACCTATTTCATTCTGTGAATAAGATAGAGTGATGACTGTTTAACCAGCCCCAATAGTAAAAAAAAATGGTGAATGTGCCCTGTTTCCTGAATTCCTGCATTGCATCTTTTAGCCATTAGTGTAAACGAACATACAGTTAGTTTAATACAGTTAATACAGTTTCATTTTGTATTAACTGACTGAAGTTTCTTAGAATTTTTAGGAGCTATTTCCATATAGTTATAAAAATAATAGCCTTTCAGTGCCTCATGATTGTCATCCTAAGTCTATATTTTGATCTTTCTCTGAACTGATTCTACTTGCACTTACTACTGCTATCTGCCTGGTAATTATCCCAAATAACTTAAAGTTTGAGAGGCCATCAAAAGAAATAATGATATTTGCTAATACAGTGATCCAGTTGCTTCTATTCGACTTTTTGAACTACAAGTTGGACTGAGCCATATATAAACAGTGGGTGAAGGCTAAATGTCAAATATTTAACTTTCACGGTTAGTCATTGGAACCATTGGTTAAGACCCTGAGGGACTTGGCTGGCTTGGATACTTTCATCCTTTGCTGTTACGAAGAAAGGACTGTGGGACAAAACCCAGAAGTAGAGAAAAAGTACTTTGAGGTGAGTCACGTTAAAGTGTTTCTCGATCTGGAGGAATCAAATTTCTGTGGGGAGGGGGGTTTGCAAGAAGGGCAGGTTTTCAAAACCGGGATTCTAAAATACTGAGTAATGACTTCATGCTTTATATTATTTCCGAAAACAGTCATAAGAAGCACAAATAGTATTTTGAGAATACTGTGGTTTTTAAGAACTTATTCTGGTATAATTTTAAATCACAGCTTCTTCAAAGGGACTTTGAGTTGCAGAAGGTTCCCTTGGGTGAACATGATGAAGAATATCGGAGTGAAGACATTCATATCTTTATCATGCAAAAGAAAAAAATGGTAAGTATTAGCCTCATTGGTTCTACAAATGAGTTAAATGTGTTCTGGATATCAATCAGAATAGAGCTGGAAGGGACTTTGGAGATCTAGTCCAACCCCCTCCTCAAGAAGCAGATCCTATAACCAACCCACCTTCCTTCCTTACAAGCCAATTGAATAAAAATGATATGAGACTCTGATTTAGTTTCATAGTTATCCACTTCAAGTCAAATCCATCTTTATTCCAGTTACATACAGCATATATTTGGAATCTCTTATCTCTTATCTTTTTTGACCTCCATTTCTTTACATATTCAATTTATATGTCACCTGACTTCAAGTGATTCTGAGCGGTTTAGAAAAAAATAAGAAAACACCACAAAACAAAAAAGAATAAAGATGCACCGATAAAATAAAATCAGATGAGAAACAAAAAAAGAAAAGGGGGTCTTTGTTTCCAAACATGCTCATCAAAGGCCAAGGTGAAAAGCCGAGTTTTCAGGGTTTTTCAAAACACAAGTGTAGAGGGAGCCATTTGAATCTATGGGGGAAACCTTATTCCAGAGGGCAGGCATTGCCTCATAGACGACTCACTATGGATAAAATGTTGTCCCAGTGCAGATATAATCCTGACTAGATGTGATAGCATCAAGCAAATTAACACATGGCTGAGGGAAGAAAGTGTGTAGCATGTAATTATGGAAGGAAATTGCCTTTGGTTGTTAGATTTAGCCAAATTGTTTGTTACATTTTTCAGAATATTTCATCGTGAAATCCTTGATGCTGTTTTCTGACCTCTAATTTATAGAAGAACTCTGAAGAAAATTGGAAATTAAAGCATTTTTAATAAATTTTCTGCAGAACATCTCTGCAGCCAGAGGGGAATCAGCATATTGTTTTATACTAAAGTGATTTCAGAAAAAAATCAATTCTCTTGAAAAAGAACTACAAGCTGAAGGAGAAAGAAAAAAGAAAGAAAAAGAAAGAAAGACGTTAACCTGAGAATGTCAGATGAATGGTTTTGTATGAATATATGCATAATATGCAATCCCTCTTGGGCAAAACCTGTTTTAATATTAACATTTTATTAGAAAATTTATATATTAAAATTCTTTTTCCTATTTAAATGGGCAGAATGGTGCATCATAGGATAACAATTTTGAACCAAAGTATTACAAATGGGCTTACCATCCTATGGGGAAAGGAAGAAAGTGAAGAGGGAGGGAGGGAGGGAGGGAGGGAGGAAGGAACAGAGCGGAAAAAAACTCTCAGCACGTTTCTTGGCCCAGGCTGCTCCCTGCACCTTCCCCAAAACCATGTGGCACTTGTGGACCCCCACACATCCTCCCTGGCATCTGCCACCCTCCCTGTGTGCCTTTCCTAGCCCACACAGCACCTCTATCTCCATTCACCTTTTCTGACCTGCACCACACCCTCATCCAGCATCCGCCCTGAGTCTCCGGAGAGGGTCGGCATATAAATTTAATAAATAAATAAAATCTCTTGGGCACTCCACACACCCTTCTTGACCCATACTGCCTCCCTGCACCACTCCCGACCTGCATGGCTTATCTCATGCGCTCCCAAGCAGTCCCATGCACCATCTCCGAACACACACACCTCCAATTCTTCTTGAATTCACATCAACTCCCTGTGCACCCTCCCCAACCTGCATGGCATCTCTTCCACACATCCAGAGATGCTTCCCCAACCACACAACACCTCTCATGACTCCCCACTTACCTGTCTACTAGCCTTGGACTTGTAACTTCCCATTGACTTTTTCCATGCAAGCTTCCCACAAGTAAAGTAAATGGGGAAGCTGGCAGAAATTCTAAGGAAGTGGGAAGCCAGGAAGAAAATGACAGAATGACAAGGAGGAAGGGAGGAGTATTTCTGATGCTCTTTACCAGTTTCCCCTCATGTAAATTCAATGGGGAAGACAGCGGGAAGTCAGAAGTTGTTCCTGCTCCCATAGTCCTCCCGCGGTCATTCTGTTTTTCTGTTTAGTAAAGAAATGTCTCTTTAGTAAAGAATGACCCAGTAGGTGACGGGTTGTCTAATTTAATGATTTATTAAACTATTGTTCTTATCCTAATGCATCTTTACATGTTCACTGAACTTACTGCATAGTTTCAGACTTTTGCCTTTATTTCTTTTTTAATCTATTCAAAATAATATATTGAAAATATGATAGTCACATATAGAGACAAAAGTTAAAAGGCAAAATCTGCTGTGCCATTGGGTAACAGAGTTGCTGTTTTTGTGCAAAGAGGCATGTAGTCTTCAAATTAATTCTAAGACTGCCCAGGGCAATCCCACATGATTTTATTCTATCATTTGTTTGTTTGTTTGTTTATCACATTTATATACTCATCTTGTGCTGGTGTGGCCAATCACAATACCATCATACAGTAGCAAAATATTTTATTCTGGAACTCAAGGCAGTGATGTACATAGTCTTCCTTTTATTCTTCCCCATGGCAAACAACCTGTGAGATAGGTAGGGGCTGAGAGAGCAACTAGCTCTGTTACCCAGAAAGCTTTTTTAGATTAGGATGGAATAGCACCTGGGTCTCCCCACACCTTCAATACCTCTTGCTGATGTTTCTTGCGTATGGCTCCCTGAAGACATCACAAGTTCAACATAATGACATACAGGATGAGCTAGTCCCGCCCAAGTAGGCTTCTCCAAAAAACCAGGATCCAATGAACCCATACAGGCTTCTATCCTGCAAGCCAACGTGCAGGTTCAGGGGAGAGCCAATGTCATCTGAGTGAAATCAATAGCTGTAGAGTGGTGACACTTAGCTGGCCTGCTTACATGCTGAGCTCCAATAATAATGCCTGAAGAGGGTTAATGAGCTCTTACAAAACACTCCTTTGCAACTTCTGTTGTTTTGGGCAAGTCCACAGCCAGCATTTCAGAAGACTTGTAGAGAAAGGGATAAACTGATAATGTTTGGATTGTCACCCAAGGATTGTTTGCACACCACACTACTAATCCATGAGAAACAAACAAAAAAGGTTGTGTAACATGCACCAAAAGAAACTTGCTGCTTATTGTAAGGCAGTGGGATGTGTACATAATATGAACTACGCATCCATACTGTGAACGTTTTGGGTTTGGATTAATGGCTGTAGTTTGTAAAGATGGTTTATATGTTTCAGCCTGTTACGCAAACATTGGTTTTGTACCAATGTTCATAGTCAACAAATCTACCTACAAAAAAACTGATGAGGTGTTCATGGTGAACCAGTCACCTACCTGTTTAACCAGAGATTACGTAATCATATATATTTGATTTTCTTCCCTACTGGATTGAGAGTTAAACCTGTTGGATTTAATTCCAGTTCCAGGTCACACTGAGACCAGAAGATGAAAAAGTTAAAGCATAAAGTCAAGTTCAGCTCCAGAATACATTAATGTAGTGTTCTTGGCAACAATATGGAAATGATTTGCCACACAAGGTTCTTCCATTTCTCAACCACTCCTACCGCACAGGTATTCCTTGAAGGTCTTCATGCAAGACGTTGGCAGTACACAAACAAAAAAAAATAACCTGACTCTTTTCTGCTCCAAAGCTAAAGGCAGCCAGGTACTGCCTGCCACTGCTGAGAACCTGCAACGCAGGGCGTGAGAATTAACTTATTTTTGGGATAGCCAACTTCTCCAAAGCCAGAAGGAGGCAGTATAAGATAGGAGACTTACTCTAGCCTTCTCTCAGACTAGCACATAAATTTTCCAGAGAAATGTGTATATCCAGTGCTTTACAACGGTTTATAGTTCACATCTACCACAATAAATTACATGCTCAATAGCATTCTAGCAATTGTGTTGTAGCTGTCAACAGTGTTCACAATCACAAGACAGCGGGCAAAGAAGGAATAAGTATTAAAACTACTTGTGGTGATTGTGGTGTAAGGATCTTTTTCAGAGCCATTGTCAGAGCTGTTTCTGTATTTTAGTTTTTTGTTTTTTTAGATAGTCTTCTATACATAAAACCTGAATCCACAAATTGTATTAAGCTATGGTTTGTTAAACGAGAGTGTCCTAGCTGGCATATCTAAAGACATAAAACACTTCAAAAAAGATAATAGTTGCCAAGTTCAACAAAGCCAATTTGGTTTAATGATTCAGACATCAGGCTAGAAACTGGGAAACTGATTTTAGTCCTGCTTTAGGTCCAAATGCAGCTGGATGACCTTGGACCATCACTCTCTCTCAGCCCTAGGAAGAAAGAGGCAAGGACAAGCTGCTTCTAAACTCTTATCAAGAAAACTGCAGAGACTAGTCCAGGCAGCCACCTGGACTCAACACTCACACAAAGGGGAGGGGGGGAGCCATGAATCATAGTTTATGAAACACAATAGTTGCCAAGTTCAAGACAGCTAGAAAATAAAAATAAAAAACATTGCGCAAACTTGTTACAGTTCTGCAGAAGTGATTACGACAACATAGGGACTGATGAAGATAGACCTATTAAAATTCATAAAGTAATATGACTAGAATCATACTAAACTATAATGTAGATAAGATATAGATCTGATCAGAGTAAATTAAAGGAGTGAAATATGAATTACATTTTATTTAGGTTTTGCCCTTTTCACCACTTTGTTATGTATGGACTTATTATTGCCTTTTATTTTGCATTTTGATATTGCCTCACAGCCAATCAAATAATAATCCCCCAGCGAGGCACTACCTTGATGTGGTTATGGGGCTACAAGGAAAATAATAACTACTTCAGAAGTTCAATCATAATGGACATGTCTCACCAGAGAAGTCAGATGAAGAGTGTGTCTGCAATAAATAATATGATGGGATATAACTTACAGAAACTATATACTGGATCAGTCACCATCAAGTCAACAAGGACCGTGCAAAGCGTTGGAGTTCCTGGAAATTGGTGACAATTTGGCTAAACAGCTCAGGCCTATTGGCTAAGTAAACAGGGCCCGCAGCTGCAGAACTACTGGAAGAAAAGTTACCTACCTGTCCCAGAGTATACAAACACTGAAAACAAAGAAATAATAATCTGATATTCCAAATCAGGTCCAGTGAGAAGAGGCTATCTGCAAAGAATATGCCAGTTTTGAAAGGAAAATCCAAAATCAGGAATAATAGAAAAAATCTAGCAGATCAACCTCGATTTATAATATGAAATAAATTCACAGTATTTACAGAAGCAGAATTGAAAGAATTGCAAGGGTCTACCCAGGTCAAAGAAATCAAAGCCTTGCCAGAAGTCCTCATAATATTTTCACTTAGCACTTTGTGTTTTTCAACTTTTTCTCAAGCAATTAATTCAAAGGACACCATATTGAAGAACTCTGGTCTAAAATGTGTTGATTCTCACTTGGAATCCTTCCACTGTTAGAGAGCTGATCCAGGGAAACATATTCCCAGGAATTCAGGACTGATGTCACAAAAGACAAGAGAGCTTTTTCAAGCTTGACTGCTGTCCTGGTGGACACAAGGATTTTAAACCAGTTTGAGTATATTCTTGCAGCTCTTTGTTCCTGCTAAATTGAAAAATCAAAGAACATACGGTATGTGATGGGTTGACAATCCTGTTGGCAGATTTATATCTCCCATTACCCCTTCTTGTGCTATCTATAATTAGATTATTGTAGCACCTTAAATAATTATTCTCTTGTGAACTGGACAGTTTGTGTGACCTTTTTAATATAAAATGTGCTTGGTTTCAAGGAGCTACAAGAATTGTTACTGTTTTTCTTGCACAGAGTTAAACACAACCATCTGGAAATAAGTCAAGTCTGCTGGGTTTAAGACTGATTTTTAAAATGTCTGCCACACTTTGGTGTCAAAAGCCTCTCCATTCTTATACTCTTGGTGAGGCACAAGATAAATTTAGTTCTTAACAGAGGGCAATTTTTCAATATTGTGGGTAAATCATACAGGAAGTCCTTGACTTATAACCACAACTGAGCCCAAAATTTCCACTGCTAAGCAATGCAGTTGCTGAGTGAGTTTTGCTCCATTTTATGATCTTTTCTAACAGTTGCTAAGTGAATCATGTGGTGGTTAAATAAATCTGGATTTCCCCATTGACTTTGCTTGTCAGAAATCAGCTGAGAAGGTTACAAATGATTGCCACATGGCCCCAGGACAATGCAATAAACATACCATTTGTCTAGCACCTAAATTTTGATCATGTGAGCATGGGAATGTTGCAATGGTCATAAGCATGAAAAATGGTCATAAGTCTCTTTTTCACTGCCATTGTAATTTTGAACGGTCACTAAATAAATGGTTGTAAGTCGAGGCCTACCTGTCGTTCAATGGTCGTTGAATGTCATTCAATGGTTTTCAAGTAATGCTTGCAGGATTTCTGAAGGTATTCAGGAAATTTATCAGATTCTGTGTCATACAGCAGCAAATTACAATAATCTTTTCAGAGACAGAGTAGCTTTTCCCCAAATCCTGATTCTCCTTGTAGCAGGCAGCAACAAAAGCCATCTCTCTGGGAGCAAGGCATGCTGGTCAAACTCTAGAACATAACAAAGCTTCAGCAGCAATTTTTGGCAGAAATTTGGCTGGACGAAGCCGGGCAAACTGGCAAAAGGTTTGCAATCTTCAACCATAGATGAATACTGGAAAGGCTCTTTGCTAGCTTTTGGCCATCAACAATTAGTAGCAAAGAAAATATCAACGGTTTACTGAATGGAAAATGTTAGACACTGCAAATCCGAATACACAGAAATGGCACATCAGTCTTTCCATGCTGTGCCCTCCCAAGTTTGCTGGTCTCTATTGAATCAGGAAAACCGAGCAACATGTCATATTAAGCGCTACCAGTTAAGTCCACCTCTGAAATTATATTCCAGCTTTGTTCCCAACATAGTTTCCAGTGATGGAATCGTGCATCTTGCTAAGCCATAATATGAAATGCTGGATTTTGGCTCAACAGGATATATGTAAGCAGCTATTCTGGTTTTTAAACTACAGTATATGACTTATTGTTCTGTGTGAACAAACTACCAAGCTTATTCTACAAGCCATTATGAAACCCAGTTTTAGTGCAGAACGTGAATGCAACCTTTGGGTATGTTTTTGTGTAAAGTAAAAGAAGCATGTGGTTGCAAGAAATTTACCACATTTATCAAAGGTCCCATTTTTCCTTACACGTTCTTGCCTGTTAAACCCCTTTCCCTCTCCCTTGCTCCTTGGATCATGCTACCCCAGGCAAAATTACATGTTGTGGTTCAAAAAGAACGACCGGTCAAATTTGTTGCACCAGCCAGGGTCTCTTAGAAAGGGAGACTGGAATTCTTCTAAACGGGTAGGGTCAGTGTGACATAATGATTAACGTGCTAGACCAGTGTTTTTCAACCTTCGTAACCTTAAGATGACCTTACTTCAGTGGTGGGTTGCTCCTGATTCAGACTGGTTCACAAGAACCGGTAGTAAAATTGGCGGGACGCTCCGCCCACTGACCTGGACCATCATAGGTGATCTGCATGAGTGAAGCGAGCGTGCATGCGCGAACAGGATGCAAACCGGTAGTAAAGATAAGTAGAACCCACCCCTGCCTTACTTCAGCTTGCAGAATCTCCAGCATAGTGGCTGAGGGTTTCTGTCTAGAGACCTTAAAATTGCCAAGGCTGAGAAGAAACTCTGTGCTAGAGTGAGATCAGGGAGTCTAAGATTTGAATCCTCCCTTAATCATGGAGCATAACTTTGGATTTATTGCTATTTTCAGTCCCAATCTGCCTCACAGGATGATTTTGGGGATAAAATGAGAGACTCTTGGATATGCGACTAAATTCCCGGAGGAAAGGCAGATTAATAATAGTAACAGTAACCACATCTGGATTAGGAAACAGTAAATGGCTGAACTTCTTTCATCGTTTGTAGACAAGCTCTTTTTGGCAACTTGAAATGCTTTGCAACAAGGTCATTTAGATTCAGTGGTTAAAAAAAAGAAAAGAAAGGAAGGTAACTTTATTATTAAAAGTGATTCTAAGGTGCAACTTGAATGAAAGAAGCTTCCTTGTCTCCAACCCAACCCCAATTTCCTTCCTGATCTCATGAGATAATGCTGTCTACCTTGTCTGTCTGAATTTGTATGCTAAGAGAATGGTGTAATTGTCCTTTCCATTGTTCTAGGTTTGTTAACAAGGCATATACAAGACGGACTAATGTCAAGGCCTAATCACAGTAAAGTGAGAGGAGATGCGTTTTGACAGATCATTAGATCAATGTTAAAATTCACTCTGGTTTTTTGCAAAGGTTTTGCATGGATACAGTTAGAGCTCAATTATTACATGATATCTGCTAATGGGTTTAGTGCTACTCCAAAACAAGGCTAAACTCATCTTCAAAAGCTACTTGAACAACTGTTGGCAGGGGCAAGAAGAACTGCAACACAAAGCAGTATAAAACTCTTGTCTTCTGTGTTACTCTGTAGCTAGCTATCGTCACCGCTGAGCAGCTGCAGCTCTCAGGCTGAGCCTGATAACCAAGTAAGAAATTGGCATAGGAATCTGGTAGATATAAGGAGGCAGCCCGACTTGAAAAAAATGGACTGCTATAGGGCATTGCCTGCCAAGACAATTAGACACAGGGCCATCATTCCGATGAACTCCTAATTCTTACAATACTGTCTTACATCTAAGTATATTTACCCATGTTGTTTGGCTGTAGTATTATTATCCTTCTTACCTTCTTTACTACCCCCTCTTACTGGTATTATTATCATTATGCTTATTCTACCCTATTGCTTGCATGTATACTGAGAACTTCTGCACCAGAGACAAATTCCTTCTGTGTCTAATCACACTTGGCTAAATAAAGCTATGTTATGCTGTCCTGTCCTGTCCTGTCCTGTTCTTGTTACTCAGAACAGAACAGGTCGGGAAATGTTGGAACAGAAAGATGACCTGTATCATCCTAAAATGGGTTTAGCTAATCTCACTTATAAAAGTCCCCTGACTAGGGCATCAGCAGAGTTGGTGAAGCATGTCACACTGTATTCACGCTAAAACCTGTGTTGGAATCAGCAGCATCTAGAGCTAACTGCAGTAATACCAAAATGATATATGCACGGTGACATCATCACGCAAATATACTTACATCTTAACATAAATTTCAACATTTATATAATTACATAGTCATTTGTTCCTCTTGCCGCAGTCCTCTGCATGATCATGATTGGAGGAAGAGGAAAAGGAGGAAAACATTCCTTCAGACTCACTCGAAAAGTCAATCATGCTGGGAATGATCAACAGAAAAAGGAGAAGGGGTCACCCTAGTACCCGTTGGCTGAACATTATAAAAGATGACCCTAGGATGACCATGGCAGATCTGAAAGAAGCGGTGTGAGACAGAGGGGCATGGAGAGTGCTGGTCCAGAGAGGCTGAGGGCCGGACACGGCTGAGTGGCTAACAGCAATGACAATTCCTTCAGTATTGGTACACCTAAGGACCACCTAGGACAGGGGAATCAGATGACATGGCATGATAGAAACTTGGGCAGATTTGTGCTGCAGTGAAGATGCAAATGAGAAAGAGCTTCTTCCCACGTTTATCTAGTTTCATTAGCAAAACAGCCCAACAGACAGCATTCCTATGGACATGAATGTTAATGCTGGGAAGCGCCTAGCGTGTGGAATGCTAATGCTGGGATGCATCTAGTGTGAATTCAGGACTCTATATAGCTGTGAAGATCATTACAAGGCAAATTTCTAACCCAAAGATTTGAACATTTCCATTTATCTTTTCACACAACTGAACTTCTTAAGGTTAAATAAGTGAAATTCTACCAAAATCACTATTTTCACACAAGGATCCCCTTCCTATGTGGCCCTTGCATTTGGGCCTTAAAGGTGACCTGGAAAATCAGGCCTGCTTGTTAGCTGCGTCCTGACCTCTGCACCCGTCACCATGAGATTGATGTGGAACTTCTGAGAATCCCATGAATTCACTAGACAAACAGTATTGACAAAATATACTCACATCCACCTTGTATGCAGGTTTCCTGGCATGTTATTGAAGAGGTTTATCATTAACTTTATCTTGGATGTTTTGCCCGATTCAGTCAACAATTCCCAAGTGATCCTTCTCCAGGTTTTAACCAGGAACAATCCTGCATAGCTTCCAAAATTAGCAACATTCAATTAAATACTCTGCCACTTACATTTGAGGGATCATACACAATCTAACTGGCTACGAAACTGCTAAAACAATATCTTGGCCAAAGCATGTATACTTTATTGAACAGGATTAGGAGGGGAGGAGGAAAAGAAGTGGGTTAGAATGTGGAAGACACAACTCTTTTGCTATTGTCTACGTTCTCCCAAATGCAGCTTTCTTTTTCAGTATGAGCTGTCAGTGATGGTAGTACTATCAACAGCAGGTATTCACTGTGTCTGAGGCATCTGGCTGGCGTCTGGCTGACAGGATGCTGAGATAGCTGGATTATTGGTCTGGACCTGCCAAGGCTAAGTCTGGTGCTCTTTTCCTATGGCATTTGCATTTTGTTGTCCTTTTTTTTTTATGGTACAGTATTCTATTCTGTCTGAGCCGGAATTTGCTGTCAGTGCAATATTGTTCCAGTTCCCTGTCAGAAACGGCTGCATTAGGTCACCTGAGTATTGATAAAGACAAACAAGGGCAAGTGGGTGGGGCAGTTGGAAAAGCTTGCTATGATTCAACAAGATGTAACTTCTCTGAATTTGCCCAGAGATGAAAAGTGAATTAAGTGGGATATGGCGTTCTAATAAAAGTTTAGGGAACACAGCAGGAAGTTGGAAATGGCCAGGTGTGGAAAAGCTGCTAGTAGAATATTAACCGCATGCAACAATTTCACTCATCTTGTACCATTGCACTATAAAATTAAAAGTGTAACAGCAACTTTCTGAGTTAACTTTGCAATTCCATTCCACTTTAATATCCAACCGCTATAAAACTGATTAGATATTTGCTTCTTTTGTTCTGCTTGATGTAATAGTAATAGCTAAGAGTAGGGGTATATGAACACCCGTTAAAATAATAGAGCTGGCATGAGCTACTCAGTCCACCACCCCTGGGGAACTGCTAGTGCTTCTCCCACAGTTTGGAAATTTCCTCTATTAAGTAAGAATAGAGCCCGCCCCACCTGTGCCGGCAGAGGAGGCTTGCTGTGGACCCATTGGCCAGGATCTCCAGGAGAAGATCTTTTTCTGCCATTGTGCCTGCCCTTTGAGACATCCTGCCCCCAGGATGGCTCCAATCTTCCTTACCTTCCATAAGAACTTAAAGACTTGGCTCTGCCGGTTGGCTTG